CCTTTGGGTCAATACCGAGGAGCGTGGTTGCTGGGCCGTATGAGTGTGCGTAGTTGTGTAAGAAGGCGCCGCACCGCCTCCGCAGGGGCTGCGCCGTGTGCGTGTCCGCGGCAGTGAGCCTCCTGCTGCTCCGCACCCCGCGCTGGGGCGGCCCCGGCCGGTGCGTGTGCCAGGCGTGCCGCTTGCTGCCTCCATTTGCCTGCCATCGGTGTGTCTCCTTTGGTGAGGTCTCTCTTTGGGTCTTTTGCCCATTTTTTAATCAGACTGTATCTTTGGTGTGGAGCTTTAAGCTTCTTTGTCCTCTTCGATAGCCCTTCACGAGATCTCTGCAAATCCTCTCGTTGACATTGACTTTGGGAGAGCGAAAGTTTCTACTTTTAATGAAGTTCAGCTTTTCAGTGATTTATTTTCATGGGTTGTGCCTTTGATGTTGTATCTAAAAGTCATCGCCAAAGCCAGGGCCATCTACATATTCCCTTATGCTATCTCCCAGCAGCTTCATGGTTTTGCATTTCACATTTCGGGCTCTGATCCACTTGGAATTCATTGTTGTGACAGGTGTGAGGCCTGTGTCTAGATTCATGTTTTGCACGTGGCTGTCCAGTGGCTCCAGCAGCGTTTGTTGAGTACATGGTCTTCGCTCCTGTGTCAGAGGTGAGATCGCTGTGTTCTGGACTCCGTTCTGTCCCACGGTGTCTGTCCGTTCTCTCACCAATCCCACACTCTCCATTACTGTAGCTTCTCCTGGTCTGTGCAGGCTCTTCTGGGTCTTGGCCCCTCACACACAAACTTCAGGATCAGTGTCTCCATCTCCACAGGTGACGCTGAGACCCTGGTTGGAGTTGCGCTGAGTTTACGGATTGGGTTGTTGAGAGCTGGCACCTGGACAATAGCAAGTCTCTCTGATGATTGACATGGAAATCTCTCCATTCGCGTAGCTCTTCTGCGAGATCTTCGCCGCGCTGTGCAGTTTTCCATGTGGCGCTTCCATGGAAGGCGTACGTCCAAGTATCTCCTTTCTGGGAAGTGGGATGTAGATGGGCAACTGTTTTAATCTCGCTTGCCCACTTGTGCTCTGTAAGAAGTCAGTGGGCTGTCAGATGTTAACCTCGTACCCTGCAGCTGTTGCGATGGCTTAGCTCCGCAAGTTTCATTGTCAATCCGTAGGGTTTTCTGCAGAGAGAATCCGTCCTCTGTGCGCAGACACTGCCGTATTCCTTCCTGCAAGTGCGTACACTTCATTCCCTCTGTTGTCTAGGATCCCAGGGCGAGAGAGGAGGAGTGGAGTGTAATATTACGTATTTCGTAGATTTTTTACATCGAGTGGAGGAGGGTCACTTCCGTTCCTAGTTTGCTGAGCGTTATTAGCAGGATGGGTATTGAATTTTGTCAGGTGTTTTTTCTGCATCAGTTGATCTGACCTCGTCTAACCAGAGAGGAGTTCTCTCCAGGTTAAGGAGAGGTGTCGTCTTAGAGCAGCCGGACGTGCCGTCTGGGCACAGGTTGGCGTGTGCCAGCGATGGCGTGAGCCCGCTGTGAAGACCACGTCTGTTCAGGCTCCCCGCTGGGCGGACTGGCCTCCGGAGAGTGACAGAACCAAACCCAGGCGCAGGGTCACCGTGGTCGGAGTCGCCATTCTCTGCCGCTGCTGCAAGTGGCAAAATCTGTCCAGGAGATCGGAGGGAAACCTGTTTAATGACTCGGTCGTGGTGTCTGGTCTCACATAGAACAAATGGAAAGGCGATCACCCCTTGTTCTGGAAAATAAGATGGCATCTCACCAGGGTCCTGGGACGGGGAGGAGAGAGCAGGGGTTGGAGCAGCTGCACCGGCTCCATTTCGCTCCATGAAAATCTCCTCCTTGAAAAGCGGGCAGGGTTTCTGGTGGAAGATTTCACACGGAAACTGCACCGTAACGTCCAACTGCCCCTCACCCCTTAGGACCTGCGAGCGAGGCAAGGCCAGCCGAGGTTTTAATTTTGTTAAATTAGTGTGAACCAGGTAAGGACTGGGCAGAGCTTTCTGCCTACACAGACGGCCAGAGAGGACTGACACAGACAGACAGACGGCCCAGAGAGGACTGACACAGACAGACAGACGGCCCAGAGAGGACTGACACAGACAGACAGATGGCCCAGAGAGGACTGACAAGACAGGCGGCCCAGAGAGGACTGACACAGACAGACAGGCGGCCCAGAGAGGACTGACACAGACAGACAGACGGCCCAGAGAGGACTGACACACACAGACAGACAGATGGCCCAGAGAGGACTGACACAGACAGGCGGCCCAGAGAGGACTGACACAGACAGACAGACGGGCCAGAGAGGACTGACACAGACAGATGGCCCAGAGAGGACTCACACAGACAGACGGCCAAGAGAGGACTCACACAGACAGACGGCCCAGAGAGGACTGACACAGACGGACGGCCCAGAGAGGACTGACACAGACAGACAGATGGCCCAGAGAGGACTGACACAGACAGACAGACGGGCCAGAGAGGACTGACACAGACAGGCAGACAGGCCAGAGAGGACTGACACAGACAGACAGACAGACGGCCCAGAGAGGACTGACACAGACAGACAGACAGACGGCCCAGCAGAGAGGACTGACACAGACAGACAGACAGACGGCCCAGAGAGGACTGACACAGACAGACAGACAGACGGCCCAGAGAGGACTGACACAGACAGACGGCCCAGAGAGGATTGACACAGACAGACAGACAGACAGACGGCCCAGAGAGGACTGACACAGACAGACGGCCCAGAGAGGACTGACACAGACAGACAGATGGCCCAGAGAGGACTGACACAGACAGACAGACAGATGGCCCAGAGAGGACTGACCGCCAGAGAGGTGCCCGCAGGAGGGAGGGAGGCCGTCCCGTGGCTCGTGGAGCTGCCAGAGCTGCTGTGCGAAGCCTGGTTGGTCTGACCTGGAGCAGTGAGGCTCCCACCTGTGGATCACGCCATGTGCTGTTGATGGAGGGTTTCCCGGCGGAAGGGGCTAGGAACCTTCTGGAATTCTCACATCCATCATGGTGAGTGGATGGCTGGATTCATGTTCTCATGCACAGTGTCCGCATTTGTGAGCGCATGTTTGACATTTATCAGGTCAGCGATTGGGCCAAGAGTCCTGAGGTTTTCCTCCGACCTCAGCAGGAATGCCCATTCCCGGGAGTTTGCCCCCCGCAGTGGGGGGGCAGGGGGTCACCCAGTGATGGCTCGGGGGGGGGGGGGGGCAGCGTCGGGCTGGAAGTCAGCCTGCACGCCTGTGCGCGGTGGGGAAGCGGGCCTCCGGCTCGGACGCGGGGTCTGTGACGGGGGTGTCACTGTGCTGGTTGTGACGCGCCGCCTGTGTGTGGGACCCCAATCCCTCCGCGGTCTCTCCGGCTAAATCAGGCCGTTGACATAAATTACATTTTGGATGAAAGCTCTAAAAATGTACGGTTCTCTGTATTTTTATTCAGAACAAGGTATGATACTGATTTGAAATCTTTCCTTAATGCAAATGTATTCCCTTCAGTTCACACCTGGACGCTTATTGCCAACCTTGTTCCCCCTGGCGGCTGTCAGTCATGCCGAGTGTGCCGGGAGCGCCGTCACAGGGCAGCTCGGCACAGCTCCGTGTCCTCGCCACGGGACGGGTGGACAGAGGGCGGCAGCCGGGGACAGCGGTCATGACCGAGGACTCCCTCCCGGTCACCGTCGGGGGAGCGGCTGCTCAGTGCTGAGCAGGGCCCATGGCCCTGGCGGCAGGAATTCACCCGGCTGGGAGGGGCTTCTCCCCAGGGGACCCGCACTGGGTGGGCGCCAGGAACCGCCACGGTGATGAGGTGGCCCCTTGGCAACGTGGGAGGTTTGCCCCAAATTTCAAATGTGGCTGCGCTCAGCCCAGCAGTTTTACCTAAGAAAGAGGTGAATGTCTGAAGGGCGCGCATGGGGACTTCCGTGACTGATTTCAGTTGGAAAGGCTCAGACAGGAGGCAGGGCCCCGACTCCTGTGGAAGGAAGTCACAGTGGCCTGATGTGCCTGTCGCCCTAACCACTGGGTGAGGACCGTGTGTTTTCTCTTGTCTTTGCGCGGAGGGAAGGGTCCGTGTTCACAGATGAGCAAGCTAAAGGGATGCGCGTGAAGCACATCTACGCCCGAGGGTGATATCGGTGTCGAGAGAGGGGAGCGCTTGGTGCACCTCCATAGCTTTAACATTCCCTATCACACTATAACTTTGAAATTTAAAACCATGCTGTTTTAGGGGAAAGAAAGAAACTGAAGCCAGAGATTTTGGAGGATTCTAGCCCGAACCAGTCGCCTGTGGGCCCTGGAGAAGCAGCACCTCCAGGTCTCCCCCCCGACCCCCCCGACCCGCCCTGTCGGGAGCCTGGAGCCCAGGGTGTGAGTGAGCTCCCCGAGGAACGGAGTCCAGCTGGGGATGAGGGGAGTCCTCACAGGGGGCGCAGGCCCACTCCTGGCTGGTCACCACCACCGCCTCCCGGGACATGGCCTGAAGCCGTCTTCAGTCCCTGGCAAACCCGGGGCCTGAGAGAACCGGCCGTCGGCACAGCCCAGCTCCCAGCCGGCTCTGATCTTGCAAGGCCACCTCTGGCCACAGGCATGTCCATCCCAGGCGGCGAGGAGCCCTCAGGCAGGCTGCCTGCACATCCCTCTGCCGCCTTGACAGGCCGTCCTCCGGCGCTGAGACAACAGCCGGCACTCTCCCACCCCCACACTCACTACGGGGGAGCTGCATGGGAGTCTCCGGCAGCGCTGCCCGGAGATGAATCCTGGGTGACTGATGGTGTGAAACGTGGTGTCCTCAGGGTCTGGTGACACAGGCGTAGGCAGGAGAGGAACATGTAGGTTATGTAGACCGACCGCTAGGAAATGGCAATGCTTACAGTTTTAAAACACTTTTTTATAGTAATTTTCAAATACAAAATTCACATGAGTGTGGTGCAGATCCATAGCCACCTGATGTTTCCTCTCTCACAGAGTGACGGGCGGGGAACTGTTTGAGGACATCGTGGCGCGAGAGTACTACAGCGAGGCCGACGCCAGGTGAGTGAGCGCCCGCCCCTCCCGCCCTGCAGCGCCCGCGCGGCCTGGACTCGCAACTCCATCCGGGCTCCGTGAGGACATCCCCTCACTGGTGGTTTTCTCTGCGGGATTTCCAAGACAACTCCCTGGAAAAAAACCTATGAGTCTGGTCTAAGCTTTATTTTTATCTAGTGTCTGTAGTTAGAGTGTGCATTTTGTTTTCATGTTCTTTACTGATTAAGACATTTTATTTTTTAAAGCCTCACTAGAATGGCTTCTGCTAAAGAAATACACTTTTTTAGCAGATGTGAGAGATGGAAGATTGACACCCACTGGTCTCCAGTCCCGATTCCCCGTGTGCCTAGTCTCTTAGGACTCTTTGACTTCTGTTTCAGTTCATTAAAATTAAGAAAAATTAAAAGCTCAGTTCTTGGGTCGCACCGGCCACATCTCAGGGGCCAGGGGCTATGATGGGCAGCAGGTCCAAGCACCGGCCTCCGGGCCTTAGAGCGGCCGAGAGTCACCCAGAGGCCGGTCCCGGTCAGCTGGGAGCCCTTCCAGCCCTGGGACCCGCATCTGGAAAACACTCGTCCAGGAATTCCAGAGGGTTCCAGAGGCCTTTCCGATCTCGTCACCGACAGATTTGTACAGAAGTTGAAAGTGGCTCCCTTTTGTCTCACTTGAAAGTGCCAGGCTGCCCAGAGGTGACGCCGTGAGCAGCAGCCGCTTGCTTAGGCCGGTGGATCGCAGGCCCCTCGCCTGGCACCCCGGGCGTGGCCGCAGCTGGCACTTCCCGCCAGCAGCCCGGCCAGGAGGGTGGGAGCCCTGTGAGCGTGTGAACGCCACCGCAATGCCATCGGGCTGGTCCGGCCGCAGCGGCCCATCTCCTGAGCAGCGGGCTGCGCAGCTCCCTGGTCCCTGCGCACACCCTGCGCCTTAGCACCACTGCTCATGGCTTTCTGTGGTCTCACCATGGCTGGCTCTGCTTTTTCACGGGGTTTCCACTGCCAGAGTTAGCGGGGAAGCTCTGTGTCACGTCTGCCCCACTGAGTGACTTGCCAACGGCTCCCGGACCCACACCCTCGCGAGGCCCCTGCGGCTCCTGCGCAGCCAGGAGAACCTGCGCTGGGGAGGGCGGGGCTCAGGGTGGCCAGCGAGCTGGGGGCTCACTCGAGTGCTCAGTGCTAGGTGAGCAGCCAACATACGTTCGAAAACTGCCGGCGAAATTAAGTAAAGATTGTGTCACCCTCGAAGGGCCCAGGGTGACGGCAGCCCCGTGGCTAGTCACCGTGTGCGTGCTCCGTGGCGGTGGAGCTCATGGGCACGTTCAGGGGAGCCCCACCCATGCAGGAGACAGCACTCTCTTCTGAGCCATGAGCGTCAGCACCTTCTGCAAACTGTTTGCAGGCGTTGGCTGGTCAGGAAGCTCGGGTCCCGCCTGCTCACCAGGGAGCATGGCGAAGGCCTGCAGTGTGGCTGTCTCCTTCCTTCTTCCCGTGACTCCTCAGGCCTGGAACCTGTCCCGTAGTTTGAGAAGAGAAAGTGAATTTCCCAGGAAGTAGTGTAAAGTGGGCATTAAATAGAAGGAAACAAGCCCCAGGATTCAGGAAGCGCTGCCAGCCCTCAGATGAGCCCTGGTGCAGGTGGCCACCTGAGGGCCCGGGGTCTCCGCAGCGCCCAGCCCTGACCGCGTGTCGGCCCTGCCCTGGGTACACCAGGCAGTCGCTGTCCGCCGGCTCCCCGTGGCGCGCTGCCCCGTACCCTGGTGGTGGAGCGCGTCCTCACTGAGCTCTCGCTTCCCCTGGCCGTGGTGTGGGCCTGAGCTCGGACGTTGCTGGGCGGTGGCCCAGGTCACTGTCGGGTGACGGGGATGGAGAGCCACAGTGGGGGTCCCTCTAACTGAGCGGCGTTTGCCAGCAGGGAGCAGGCCCAAGAGGGGGCACGGCTGGTGCACCTCCGCAGGTGACAGCAAGCGCTGCTCCGGGGCTCCCGCTGCACCGTTTGCCCCTCGTCTCCTAGCCCTTCCCCAGAAGCAGCCCCACGTTGTAGGTGGACTTTCGGTTCTCCGTCTCCTGGGGACCCCGTTAGTTTTGCTCCGACGTGTCACACCGGAGCAGCGCTGCCGAGTCAGACGGCAGCTGTGCCCCAGGTCCCACCCTCTCATCTGCCGCTTCCTCCTGCTTCCCCGGTGCCGTGGTGACCAGGCGTGCACAGTTCAGGTGTGCGCGAGACCCCCCATGCTTGGTCCCTGAAGAGTTTCCCGGGACATGATGGGAGCGGGCACACGTTCTCCTCCCGGAAACCTTCCCTCCTGGGTAGCGTGACCGCGTTTGCCGCGGGGATGAACGAAGCAGCTCAGTGGTTTTGCCTGAACATGCCACAGAGTCCGTGCTGGGACCAGAATCACCAGCACCTTCACTCGGCAGCGTTCAGTTCCCGCGTAAGGTTGGGAATTGGGAGAGAGAGAGTGTGTGTGTGTGTGTGTGTGTGTGTGTGTGTGTGTGTGCTGGGACTGCACTGCCACCGGCACCCGGTCCCCAGCCCCCTCTGCCTTGTGTCTCCGCAGCCACTGCATCCAGCAGATCCTGGAGAGCGTGAGCCACTGCCACCTCAACGGCATCGTGCACAGGGACCTGAAGGTCAGTGCAGCCCACGTCCGGTTGAAGGAGCGTGTGATGTTTCCGTGGAAGAGCCAAGGGCAGGCACTTCACCTGGTTCCCTCGTTGCTCCCAGCTTTCCGCCCACACTGACTGTTGTGAATGATGCTCCGTGCCTCCCAGCTGCTTGTCTGCAGGCTAAACCTGCGTCACAGCCACGGGGCACTGGGGCATCACAGCGACAGTGCAGGATGTGCCTGCTCTGGTTTAGGCAGTACACCAGGGGGCGAGGCTGCACCAGGGGAGGAGTTTCACCAGGGGGCGGGGCTGCACCAGGGAAGGAGTTTCACCAGGGGGCGGGGCTGCACCAGGGGAGGAGTTTCATCAGGGGGCGGGGCTGCACCAGGGGAGGAGTTTCACCAGGGGGCGGGGCTGCACCAGGGAAGGAGTTTCATCAGGGGGCGGGGCTGCACCAGGGGAGGAGTTTCACCAGGGGGCGGGGCTGCACCAGGGGAGGAGTTTCACCAGGGGCCAGGGCTGCACCAGGTGAGGAGCTGCACCAGGGGGAGGAGCTGCACCCGGGGCGGGCTTCACCAGGGGGCGCTTTGCCTAACCCAGCGCTTGCCTGGAGGCCGAGGTCTGGGCCGGGTGCCATCCTCAGACTGCACACCACCTCTGTCCGGAGCCCCAGAGGCCGTGGTGGGGAAGCTGGCGGCACGTGGCTCCCCCAGGCCCTCAACCCTCGGTGGAGGGGGTCCCCGGCAAGCGGGGCAGGCTTCTTCAGAACACATCGGTGTCCGAGAGTCACCCCATGTGCCCTGTGTCCACGCGGGACCAGGAAATGGGAAGAATGGGGAACCACTTGGGGGGTGCACACGACAGCTGGAAGATTTTGTTTGTGTTCTAACCTAATCCTGGATTAAAGGAAGCATCTTTAAGGTGGGCTTTTCTAGAACACACGGGCCCCCCGTTGGGCACACGTCTGGCAGGACCCTGCTTGTCCGAGGCAGTGGGCGCTGTGCCGGAGCAACGTGTCTGCTTCCGGGAAGGTGGCACGCCAGCTGTCTGCCAGGCAGGGCCGGCTCCTGAGTGTGTGGGGACCGCGCTGCCCCTGGTGTTGGCGCACAGTCGCTGCACTCAGGCCGCTTGGGCCAGGGGGCACGAAGGGGAGTGGTGCCCGGACGGTTGACTACAGTCCTGTGTGCGGCAGATCCACTGGAGAGCGTGGGCTCATTCCCACTCAGGACGAAACATGGTCCTCGCCAGCTGAGACTTGGGTTCCGTGTCTCCAGTGGCGGCGAGCGCGCGATGGCCCCCTCGTTCTGGACTCGTCTGCGGACAAGGGTCAGACCCCGCAGCCAGGCCGTGGGGCCCGATAGCGAGTGAGCGGTTACCCAGGTTCCAGAGCCGCAGGCAGAGTCACTAGTAGGTTGTGGCCCCGTGAGGGACGTCAGCCCGGGAAGGCGGAGGACGCCAGGCATCCTGGTTCCTGCGTACGTGCCGCCCGGGGACCCGACAGGCCTTTCCAGCAGGTGAGGAAGGTCCCACAGATGTGCTGACCAAGCAGGTTACGGAGCACACGCACATCCTGACGCTCTAGGCCACCACTCAGCCCTCGTGCACGGACGACGAGAAACGGAGAGTCGGGACGTGAGCGAAGGAGAGGCCTTGGCTTCCCACCTGTGCCTGTGCCGTTCAGAGGAGGCAGCCGAGAAACGGAAATGAAGGAAGACATGGGCAGGAGCACCTGCGTGTGAGCGCCGTGTGGGCAGTGGGTCTTCGTTTGAAACCTCGGCCTGGCAGGCGTTGGCACCGGGGCAGCGGCTCGAGCGGCTGTGTGTCCCGTGGGCCCCTGGGGTTTCTCAGGGGCAGACCTCTCTAGTGTGTGTCCTGGAAGAATGAGTCTCTAAAGATCCACGGCGCATTACCTGAGGATGAGATTTGTAAGCAAAACGTTGCCTTCATTTCTGGAATCTCCCTTGGACCTCAGTTTGCATCTGAGAGCATTCAGTGTCGAAAGCACAGGCGTGGTCAGTGGTGTTTCCTTGGACGGCACGCTCGGACTGCACGTCCGCTAGCCCTTTGCAGGCCCCCCTCCCCATTGGGAGGAGGGGACAGCACGTTCCTTTGAAGATTCATTTTTCTGGTGATCTTATTCCTTCCGCACCGTGCACAGACAGAGCCCTTTTGTTCCTTGTCAAAACACAGAGCTGCTGATTTCCAAGCAGACCTACAGGATGGGCGCGTTTTTATGCGATGGGGCCGGCCGCTCTGTGTGATAAATGGACCATTTGAAATCTTCCTCCGTGTGTGGAAAGCCAAGGGCCAAGGATGGGGAGTGTCACTTCTCTCCCAGGACCTTCGTCCTGCATTTTCTGGGTCGTGACGTGGATGTGTGTCCGTGTCCAAGCTCGGCTGAGCCCTTTGCTGCCGGGAGCGTGCGTCAGCGCAGGTGGCAGGCCCGCGTGTGAGCCGTGCGCTAAGCTGCTTTCTGACCTGCGAGCTGAAGTCGCTGATAAGAAACTCAGGCCAGGACCTCAGGAGGGCTCACTGCCGCACGGGCCGCTTTCCGCGCGGCTCTTCTGGGGAAGTGTCTGCTCCGTCCTCTGCCGTTAGAGGACGGGGTGAGCTTTGGGAGCTCACTCCTGCTTCTGCCAGACTGCTCCCCTTGAGGCCCCCTCGGCCCCGGTCCGCGCGTGTTCCTGGGCTTGCCAAAGCCTGGCCACTGCTTGTCCTGGTCTCGCCTGCACCTGAGAAGGGGAAGGGGGCAGCTGGGTTCCTCCTACCTGGCTCGACACTGGACTCTTCTCAGGCCCTGGTTCCTGTGCTCGTTCAGGGACCATGCGGACGTGTGAGCACAGCTCGGTCATCCACGTCTGTTAGAAGCCCGAGTGTTGCTGCCGTCATCAAAGGCCCGGCTGGGCGTGAGTGGGTGCTGACTGCAGCCCCTCCGGGAGCACTGCTGCAGCTGGGCTGCAGGGTGCGGTGCAAAGCTGAGCGCTGAGGGTCACAGGACCCTTCCGTCTAGGAAAGGCAGTGCCAGCACAAGCAGCGCCAAGCGAAGGCGATGGTTCCGCCCATCGCTGGGCACTGAATAACGGAGACGAGTGTCTCTGAGGCAGTCACACCCGCAGGGCGGCCAGCCAGTGGGCACACCCGGTGTGGAGCCCCAGGACTGGAGACGGGCTGAGCGCAGCAGGGCGGGCAGAGGCACCCAGCAGAGACCAGGAGGGGCAAGTGGAGGGAGTGGGAATTAGGGCAGGGGCACACGTTACTGCCCCGGCAGGATGGGTGGGTGGGTGGGTGGTAGGTGGATGGTGGGTAAATGGGTGGTGGGTGGGTGGATGGTGGATGTGGGGTGGATGGTGGGTGGGTGGATGGTAGGTGGATGGTGGGTAAATGGGTGGTGGGTGGGTGGATGGTGGATGTGGGGTGGATGGTGAGTGGATGGTGGGTGGGTGGGTGGTGGGTAGATGGGTGGTGGGTGGGTGGGTGGGTGGATGGTGGATGTGGGGTGGGTGGGGTGGATCGATAGATGATATAGAGAGACAAAGAGATGTTAATGAAGGTAGTAATTCTGGAGATTTGGGAGGATTTTAAATACTATTTCATGGGAAAAAATTAAAGTTATGAGCAGAAAGGAAATGCATCCTTGGCGGGGGGTGGGGGGGTAAGGCATAGTCAGTTCTCGTTCACATGGTGGTACGTGTATCACATTATGAGTTCCACACTTTGAACAGATCTAAAACCACAGCTCCACTTTTCTGAGAACCACACGTAGATGAAACTTTAGAGAACGTGTTTGTGCGTTATGTGTGTCTAGTATTTTAGGAACAAGCTGTGTGTGTGATAAATCCCACAATGCATCGAGTCGCTCTGCTTTTTGCCATTGAGGCCTATGTGTGCCAGGCCAGGGGCGGCACTGGGTGTTGGCACAGGCAGCTACCTGAGCGTGTGCTGACGCGACAGCAGTCGGGGAACAGAGGTGCCGGCCTCGCCCGCGTGTGCTGATGGAAGCAGACCCCTGATCGCACGCTGTCGGCACGCGCCTCTGCTGGAAGCTCCCTGGGCCGAGCACACAACACCCGCACCCATTCCCTGGAAAATAAAAACAAAACTCGTGTGCCACGTGCCTGGGAGACCCCAAAAATCACCTGTGCCACGTGCACGCAGACCCCAAAAACCACCTGTCCCACGTGCACGCAGACCCCCAAAGTCACCTGTGCCACGTGCACGCAGACCCCAAAAGTCACCTGTGCCACGTGCACACAGACCCCAAAAACCATCTGTGCCACGTGCACGCAGACCCCAAAAGTCACCTGTGCCACGTGCACGCAGACCCCAAAAGTCACCTGTGCCACGTGCACGCAGACCCCAAAAACCATCTGTGCCACGTGCACGCAGACCCCAAAAGTCACCTGTGCCACGCGCACGCAGACCCCAAAAGTCACCTGTGCCACGTGCACGCAGACCCCAAAAACCATCTGTGCCACGTGCACACAGACCCCAGGAACCATCTGTGTAAACTGGTCCAACTCTTGGTATCATTTTGTCACGTTCCTTCTGCTGAGTGTCTGCTCTGCAGGCTCTGAGCCACTGCCTGTGGCCTGGCTGGGCCCCGCATGCCCTGGGATCGGGCAGCACTCTCCCTCCTGCACAGGGTCTGTCCTGTGCGTCCGTCCAACCCACACCATGCAGGTCATCCTTTCCAGCAGTGTCGCCCTGGGTCAGGAACGGCCACCTCGAGAGGCCAGCGCGGGCCGGTTGCTTCCCGATGGCAGAAAACGCTGTTGGTTCAGTCACTCACGATGGGCTCCCGTCTTTCTCCTTCTTCCTAAACCAGCCGGAGAATCTGCTCCTGGCCAGCAAGTCCAAGGGGGCGGCCGTGAAGCTGGCAGACTTCGGCCTCGCCATCGAGGTTCAAGGGGACCAGCAGGCATGGTTCGGTGAGTAGCCCCCTGGCCCCACCCGCTCCCCGCCGCTCCAGCGTGGACAGGGCCCACGGCACTGAGCCCTCCTGGCACTACAGGGCATCAGTCAGAGGGACCGGAGGGTGTGACGGGAGCAGCAGGGACTCTGCTGGGCGGGAGGGCCGGAGCCGACAGACGCTGCTCACTCGCTCGGCGCTCCTGGCTTCCCTCGCGAGGAGAGCGTGTCCGCGCCGCCTCACTGGACGCTGAGATGATGCAAAGAGCAGGACTTGGAATCGCGCAGTGCTCCCAGGCCTGGGGTTCGTAAGTGAAAGTTTTAAGAAATAGTTAAAAGAACACATGTACATAGATATGCATTGTGTTCCATCTTAACACGTTAAGCGCCATGTCCGGACCTCGTCAGTCACTGTTGACTGATGATACACAATTTAAAAATTATATTCTTCTATTAATAAATTTTAAATAACTTGGAGATCATAAAGGAATGCACCTAAATATTACTTGTTACCAAAAAGAATTTTAATGAACGTTATTACAACACGGTCTACGCAAACATGGTTTCCTGTGCAGGTTCCACAGGTGTTACAACTGATTGGTCAGCTTCCTGGCAGCACCTCCTCCAAATCGTGCTGCGTTACCTCCGTGGCATTTTTTACAATACCTGCGAGCTCTCGCCGCTCTCCCAGTTCTTCGTTGCAGTTTGTGACGAGATATTTGAGTCTATTTACAGCACTGCTACTTGGAATTTCTTCATCCCAACAATTTGTTAGATGGACAGCTAATTGCTTCTGAAATTCTGTGATACTCATATTCTTCTTGCTATTATTTTTAAATAAAATACAAGCATTGAGAGCAGCAGTATTTAGTAGGAGCTCAAAGGTTAGCTTTTATACCATTTCATGGGTTTTCGTGCCGGATTATCATAGGCACTCATTTGATCACATATGTCAACTGCTGCTTTTCCTGCATTATAATCCGCTACAGTTTTTGGTTTCAAGTGGTGACCTGATCTGTTCTCTGACATATGTTTTGTTGAAAGAAGTAAGATGTCCCGCTTATCTTTCCACTTTAAAATGGTTATTCCTTTTTTGTTCTCTTTTGCTATAATTTCTCCGTTTTAATTTCTTTGGCGTTACATCATGAGGACTTCCCCGTCAATTTGAACATAATGTTCCTACTAAATGAGGATTATTATCGAGTAATTTATATGCTAAATCTAAACTCGTGAACCAGTTGTCTATGTACAGTGTGTGTCCCTTCTTGAATACATCTCTACAAAGAGACATTACAATGTTAGTTAGTGTCGTATTTTCTTTGTCTAAACTTTTCCCTGCATATACACAGAAAGCATACGTGTACCCAGATCTGCAGTGCAACTTAAATAATTTAATATCGCATTTGTGGTGTTCGTGTTTTCAATATTGCCTAAATATTATGCGGCCACAAAATGGTATCAAAGATTCATCAATACATAGAGCTTCAGATGGATCATAATCTTTTTTGAAATTTATTTCCATGTTATCTATTAGTTGTATTTTGCATAAACAATTGGAAACATCTGCCTCCCTATTGTCTGAAAAATGCAGCATTCATAATAATATCTCAAATCTATTTCTTGACATTTTTCTCGGGAAGGTTTGCATACATGCAGGATCATGGGACCAATATAAACATAAAGATGGTATCTAACTAGTCCATCCACAGAATCACCCAGAACATCTTTTCATTTCATTTCTGTTTGTCACAGTCCACCTGCACAAACCCTGCGAGTTTTCAGCCCCTAGTTTTTGCGACGCATGTAAGTTCATTTCTTTGGCGAGATCCTCAAACAGCTCATTAGGCACAAACAGTTCATAAGAATTCTCTACTGTTGCACATGACTTTACATTCAAGTCCTCAGCCCTAAAGCCAGACGGGTAGGTGAAGGGCATCGTCCTTGGTCGATGACCTCTGGATCATGCCATTCTTCGAAAGCCTCACCCTCATCCTCTGATGACGAAAAAAGAATGACATTTTTTAGGAAAACTAATTTCACTTGAATTGCTCTCACGCGCTGCTTCTACTGACATTGTCACTATTACGGGTAAAGAAAAACTGTTAAACTGCACTGGAACACGAACCACAGACAACTGACCGAAGAGAAAGCATTTCTAAAAGAACACAGAGTACAGATTGCGATAAATACATACAGGAATATGCCAGAAGATGTACATGCAGTCTTATTGCAACCGTACTCAGCTCTCCGGCCGCCAGCATATCGGTGAAATCCGACATCGCGGGCTAAACGGAAAGGAAGACCAAACCGGCCTGGCGCTCACGTGTTAAATGTCCTTTCTCTCATAGGCCAGTCTCCTCTCTAAAGCTTGGCTAATGTTGACATTTCTCTGTGTTTACCTCCAACCGAGGAGGAGATGGGAGCTGAACCAGCTGAGATCGCAGCATTTCTGCCACCGGGACCCCTCGGCGACCCGCCTGCAGAAGCTGCTTTGCACTCACATCCTCGCCCCGTGTGCCGGGCGCCGAGTCACCCGTTTCCTAGGGCGCCCTGAGGCAGCCCCTCCCCAGCCTCGTCCCCTTCCCTCCTGACGCTCAGCGGCCGCGATGAGCGAGCACTTCACATGCCTCTCTCTCCTAGTCCTTTTCCTCTGAGCAGCTGTCCGTGGGAGCACCCTGCCGGTCTCCCTCTCCCGCCTGGGCCCAACACGCCCATCTCCTGGCCCTGCCCGCAGCCCCGCTGCCCGCCCCTCGCCTGCCTGCCAGGTGATGGTGGATGGCGTGCGGCCTCCTGGCGATTGGGGTCCTCACGGCGATTGGGGTCCTTACTTGCTCCTGTCGTCCTTGTCCTTGTCCTCATCTTTATCGTGTGTCCGTGGGACCAGACGGTTCTTGTCTGTGGCCCACTCCCGTTCCGTACGCCTCCCACGCACCCTCCTGCCCACCATGAGGCCTGTCCTCCGCCTGCCGGGCTTGTCCCTGCAGAACAGACGAAGGTGGGCCTCCGTCGCCTGCGTGCTGGTGAGAACACAGCCTGGCAGGTCTGGCAGGAGGCCGAGCACACACAGCAGGGCCTGTGCCTGGAGGTGCTGGCAGGTCTGCGCCTGCGGCCTTGTCCGTGCACAGGGCGGGGCGAGGAGCAGACGGATGGCCTCCGCGCTGGGCACACTGGGCCGTCCCGAAGGAGGAGCCTTGTTCCCGCTGGCAAGGCGCTAAGGGCGTCCAGGCGCGGGCTGGGCCGGGAGGGTCTCAGGCCTGAGGAGTGTGCAGCTGACGTGCGACGCCCGGCGGGTCGCTGGGACAGGAGGGGGCCTGGCCTAGTGAAGGGGCTGCTGTGGCCTGGAAGGTCAGGGATGTGGTGAGAAGTTGCAGGTGCAGCGGGCGTGCTGGGCTCTGCAGCAGGCGGTGGCAGTGGGGTGGGGGGTGGGCAGCCGCCTGCCGGGGAGGCCAGTGTGAGGACGTGAATGGGGGTGGGAGGCGGCACGAGCAGTTCCCTTCCTCAGGCCGCACACAGCTCTGAGCTCCGGAAATCTCACTGGGGCCCGGCGGGTTCTGTCCAGAACAGAGTGGGACCCTCCAGAGCTGGGGGGGTGGGGGGGACAGGGCCGGAGGAGGATGACCGGGAGCAGGAGAACGGACGGAGCCTCATGCCCAGAGCCACGGTGGAGTTGGCGCCAGCGTCCAGCCTGAGCACCAGGGGCCGTCTGCGCTCCTGACCCTCCTGTGTCATTTCCGCGCCGGGAGGCAGGCGGCTGTGTGGGCGGGGCTGGCCCTCTGAGTGAGGACAGCCTCACCCTGGCTGACTCCTGGACAGTCGCTCCCACTCCTGGGCGGTGTCTGCGGTGGAGGTGGCGCTCCCGCAGGCGTGCTGAGCCGGGAGCTGTGAGCAGCCTCACCCTTGGGGGTGGACACCACTCGCTCGGGTGGGCCAGTGCGTCCGCTGCGACTGCAGGCACTCGTTACTGGCAGCAGCGGGTCCTGGGGGCCGGGACGTGGGGAGAGCTCCGTGCCCCCAGCGCACACTGCCCACGTCAGCTCTTGCTAAGTGCCCGTTAGAGAAGCGCCTTTTCAGAAAATGTGCGTTTCTGAAGGTGAGACCCCTCGTTGCTCCGTTGAGGTACATGGGAGTCCTCCTGCAGCCTGGGGGGCGGGCCACAGGGTGGCTGGGCCTGGTGAGTGCCCACAGCTCCCCCGTGTCCGCTCAGCGTCGTCTGCCTCAGTGCCACGTGTTTGACCCGTGTCACCTGTAGAAGGTGGTGTCGGTGGGGCCGGCTTTTCACTTTCATGAGAGAAGGACAGAACTGTCTTCGTCGTGTGGAATGCCAGGTTTCAGGCTTTTACATAATTTTACTCGGAAGAGAAAGGGTCTGGGCGGGGGCAGCCGTGGGAGGTGGCAGGTGCGGAAGATGCGGGAACACGGGCTCCTCAGCGTCGCTCCCCATTCCTGGGGCCGAGGTGCCCCTCTCCTGGTGCAGGGGCCTCCACCCAGGACACGGGCACCTGCTTGTTGGTGCCCAGGGGGAGGCAGGGCTCTGCCTGCACTGAAAGGGTTCGGGGCCTCGCTGTGTGGGTGGGGCGTCCTCCCCTCACAGGGAGCTCAGCCCCACACAGGAGGGGCTGCTCGAGAGCTGCAGGGGCCGGCCGGCACCCGGGGCAGCTCGTGTCGGGATGAGCTGGGTGTCCCGAGCCACTGGGCGGCGGGTCAGTGTGCAGGGCCTGGGAGAGACGCTGCCTTCCTGCCTGAGGCCGGCTCACCTGGACCCACCGCGGACGGAGCAGGAAAGCTCTCGCCGCCTCCGCCTCCCATTGCTCTGTCCTCCTGCCGACCCCCTGGCTCTGCCCGCAGGTTTCGCTGGCACGCCCGGGTACCTGTCTCCAGAAGTGCTGCGGAAGGACCCCTACGGGAAGCCGGTGGACATGTGGGCCTGCGGTAAGCACCCGGCAGGTTCGGGCAGCGCAGCTGACGGACTGAGATGGGACCTTCTCCGTCTGCGCCGGGGGCCCAGCAGCGAGGTCACCGGGAGGGCGGGCGGGCCCTGCTGGCCGTCTCTGACTCAGGAGCCCCTTCCCGTTCCCAGGAGAGGCCCAGGGTGCTGGTCTGAGCGGCTCTTTGAGGTGAGGGACGTGGTGGCCCACGGTGAGCCTGCCTGGGCCTCTGTCCCCCTCAGCAGCCTCGTGGAGCCTGGGTTTGCACAGATCTCACACGTGGGGAGGGGGGCGAGGGTGCCGCTTGGAGAGAAGGAGCCGGCCGTCCTGTGGGTCCGGGCGGCGCCGTGCCTGCAGCGGTCTCTCCGGGAGCTCACTGCCCTGGGAGAGGCTGAAGAAGGGGGACAGGCGCTCTGGCCGGTCCTGTGGGGCCATGGACACAGTCCCCTCTGGGCGCGCGCGGCTCCCGTCCCCTTCGCTGCTCCTCTCTCAGCCTGGACGGGCTGCACAGCCTCGATTCTGAAAGGAACTTGGTTTTACTTAAAAACAAGCCCTTCCCTAAGGCGTGGAAGGTGGGCTGTCCACGCTCTGCTGCTTGTGGCCGCGTTAGTGGCAGCACCAGGTGCTGTTCGTTTAACCTGGGAGCGCCCGGCTCTGGGCCCTGCTCGCCCAGGGCGGCCACTGGGAGGTCCCACGCTGGTCAGTCTTTGCTGGGCGCCTGCCGCCCCACCCATCCTGCCTCTGAGTGGCTTCTCTACTGTGAAGGGGTAGGGGTCGGTATTGCCCTTGTGGGATTAGAAGTGGTCACGTAGGGCGCAGGTGAAATTCAGAGAGTCTTGGCTTTGCAATAAGTCAGCCCCACCAGCTCTGCTTCTGCTGCTGAATTTAGCAGGCAGGCACTGAGGGGTGTGGGGGGAGTGGGTGTGTGGCTGCCCTCAAAGCCTGAACGCTGGAGGGAGAGCCAGTAGTGCAGGCTAGGCGGGGATCTGGGCCAGGCTCCCCTCTCTCCCTCATCCCCTCCTGTAACGCATGCTCTGCGGGGACCTGGGCCTCCGCGGGCCACCGAGACCCTGTATTGACATGGAGACCACGGAGCAAGGGCTTCCTCTCCTCGCAGGCTGTCCACATGCCCAGCCCCTGCTGTCAGGGCGGGAGTGTATGCCCGGCTCCACGCTCAGCACACAGCCCAACTAGAGGCAAAATGACTAAGAAACAGAAGCAAACTCTGAGACTGCACAAGTGAGCGAGCAGGAGGCAAGGCGGGAAGCTCGGGCGGCCTCAGCTCGGGCCTGCGGGCTCTGCCATGGCCGTCGTCCCGTGCTGGGCGCTGGGGCCGTGCTCAGGAGCATCCCCTCCCCCAGTGCCTCCAAGCACACCCTCTGCCTGCGGGGGGGGGGGGGGGGGGGGCGCGCGTCCAGGGCCTGCCACGGGAGCTCCGTGGCTGCGACCTAATGCTGTTCCCGCTCGTCCCTGCAGGCGTCATTCTCTACATCCTGCTGGTGGGGTACCCCCCGTTCTGGGACGAGGACCAGCACAGACTCTACCAGCAGATCAAGGCCGGAGCTTACGATGTACGTGGGGGCCGGGGCTTCCCGGGGCGTTCTCGGAGGGCAGCCCGCCTCCTCTCCGCCGCATGCGGGTCACCCACGGGCTCCGTGGTCGTCCTCACAGGGAAACACAAGGTCCCTGTGTCCTCAGCCACGTCTGCTGAGAGCGAGAGGGAAGTAGCTCCCATCTGAGGAAGGACGTCTTGTCCAGTGTTGGCTCTCGGTGCATTTGAACACCTAAGAGTGGAGACGTGTTTGCTTTAGGAGGGCTCCCCCCTGTGGGTGTAATACAGTCCCCGGTGCCTGTCATCACCTGCCGCCTGTGGCAGCGGTCGCAGTGCACGGCCTCACCGCCCTCCCGCGCCGCTGGGCTCGGTGCCTCCTGGGACCTGGGCTGGCTTCCGCTCGAAGAAGGGGCTGCACAGGGAAGGCCTTTGAAAGGCACAGGCCAGACGTGCTGTTGACGATCGGACGTTTGTCTGTGCCCCCACCCATGGACTGAGATCCTAATCTGAAGAGTAAGGCCGCATTGTTTCCCTTCTTTCTTTCCTTTTTAATAAATTTTTATTGATTTCAGAGAGGAAGGGAGAAGGTGCGATAGAAACTTCAGTGATGAGAGAGAATCATTGACCGGCTGCCTCCTGCATGCCCACACTGGGGGTCGAGCCCAAAACCCGGGCTGGTGTCCTGACTGGGGATCGAACCCTGACCTCCTGGTTCATAGGTCGACGCTCAACCACTGAGCCACGCCGGCCAGGCTGGGTGTAAACTCTTATCCCTTCACTGAGAGCATCTCTGCTGAATGTGCTCATTATGTGAGTGAGGCTGCGTCATTATCAACAAAAACGCCACTTAAAGAAACAGGGTGAAGCTTCGCTGTGAAGTCCCTGGTGAAGCAATTCCTGAGGGAAGTTAGGGAGCGGCCCTTCCAGGACTGGCTCTGGCGAGGTTCCTGGCGAGGGGCCAGCCTTCGGAAGGGCTGGCGTCCGGCCGAGGCTCACGGCCCACGCAGCCCAGACGTGGCCGGCCGCCCTGCTGTCCATGCTCAGGACGGGAGGTGCCCCGGGACCGGCACAGCGGCACGCAGGCGTCAGTACCTGGGGCAGCTCTCCGCTCTGTGCGTTAGTGCTGGGGTCCAGCCCCAGCAGGTCCAGAGGTCCCCAAAAGTGTGGACGGAGTCGGCGAAGAAGGAATGACACGGAGACAGCGTTCTGTTGATCAGCAGCCTAGCCAGGATCTCTAGCCAGGTTCTGGTCAGGATCTCCAGAGAAGTTCTGGTTAGGATCTCCAGCCAGGTTCTGTGTCCATGTTCTCTTGCTAGGTTCTCCAGCCAGGTTCTGTCCAGGTTCTCCAGCCAGGTTCAGTCACCAGGTTCTAGTCCGGTTCTCTTGCCATGTTCTATCCAGGTTCTGTAGCCAGGTTCTGTCTCTAGGTTCTGTGTCCTGTTGTCTTGTTACATCTGTATTTATACCAGTTGATTTTAATCCTATCAATCTCTATTCCAAAGGTTAGGGCGTTTCTTATCTCCATTCCAGGGAGTAAAGATTATGTAGCTTAAGCATGATTGTTCGTAGTTAAAGTGATTAATTACCCGCCTGGCACTTAGTTAAGGGGTTTTATTCCCTCCCTAACTTCAGGGGAAAATCCCTACCTGGGGAAACCTTTCTCAGAGAGTTGACCTTGGTTAAAACACATAGTGCCAAGAAGGTGAGCAAACATATTAAGAACAGTATGCCATATATGCCAGGTCCTTTGAAACAGCAAGGATGGACCGGCTCCCGGCAAATTCCCCCTTTTTTATTTTTTAAAAGCAGGCATTAAATGCTCTCTTGTATCCATTTTAAGAGTAGGATTGGCGCTTTCCGCTATTACCTGAGTCCTGATCTATCACCCCAGGGAGAGCTTGCCAATCCTGCACTTTCCCGGGGTGGAAAGGCTGCAGTGGGGTTAAGGATAAGGCTCCTTGGGCCTACCTCCTCCCATGCCTTTACATTTACCTTTCCTTCCTCAGAAAAGCATGGACATATTTCTTGTATAAAACGTTCTGTCTGACTGGGAGTAACCTTAATTCCTCTGCTAGCAAGCATATGAGTTAAAAGATCAATACAGAGTCTTATTTCTTTAGACTCAATATGGCACATCTTCTTAATCTAAAGATCAATACAGAGTCTTCTTTCTTTGGACTCAGCATGGCATATCTTCTCAATCTAAGAATCAATACAGAGTCTTCTTTCTTTGGACTCAGTATGGCACATCTTCTCAATCTAAGTTCTGTACTATCCACCTTCTTACCCTACTTATCCTCTATAGGGGGGTCTGCAGTACCCTGGTGGAGTCCTATCCGTCCCAAGTGTGGGGTTCTCAATGGGGGGGGGGGGGGGTGGCCTTACCTAGGGAAATCCTGTTCCAGGGGTTCCCAAAGGTGTGGATGGAGTCGGCAAAGACTATCCACCCTCTTCCTATGGTGGAGTCCTATCCGTCCCGAGTGCAGGGCACTTACCTAAGGGTCCCTGTTTGGGCGCCAGATGCTGGGGTCCAACCCCAGCAGGTCCAGGGGTCCCCAAAGGTGTGGACGGAGTCGGCGAAGAAGGAATGACACAGAAACAGCGTTCAGTTGATCAGCAGCCTAGCCATGATCTCTAGCCAAGTTCTGGTCAGGATCTCCAGCGAAGTTCTGGTTAGGATCTCCAGCCAGGTTCTGTGTCCATGTTCTCTTGCTAGGTTCTCCAGCCAGGTTCTGTAGCCATGTTCCCTCGCTAGGTTCTCCAGTCAGGTTCTGTCCAGGTTCTCCAGCCGGGTTCAGTCACCAGGTTCTAGTCCAGTTCTCTTGCCATGTTCTATCCAGGTTCTGTAGCCAGGTTCTGTCTCTAGGTTCTGTGTCCTGTTGTCTTGTTACATCTGTATTTACACCAGTTGATTTTAATCCTATCAATCTCTATTCCAAAGGTTAGGGTGTTTCTTATCTCCATTCCAGGGAGTAAAGATTATGTAGCTTAAGCATGATTGTTCGTAGTTAAAGTGATTACACGCCTGGCACTAAGTTAAGGGGTTTTATTCCCTCCCTAACTTCAGGGAAAATCCCTACCTGGGGAAACAGCCTTTCTCAGAGAGGTGACCTTGGTTAAAACACATAGTGCCAAGAAGGTGAGCAAACATATTAAGAACAGTATGCCATATATGCCAGGTCCCTTGAAACAGCAAGGATGGACCGGCTCCCGGCACGTTAGTGATTTCTGTAAATAATTCTGGGGAGGGTTGCCTAGAATGTCATGTCCAGATCCAAGCGAAACTCCAATGAGAGGACTAAGATTCTCAGAATTTCCTAACCTCCAGGATGTGTGGACCAGACATCACATGCCGAGTGTGTGTGTGCCCCCAGCAGCACCTCTTCTCTGACTGACAGAATGTAACTAGGGGACGGGCAGCTTCCACCTCGGTCGGCTTCTCTGGACGGTTCTGCTCCGACAGCGTGACCGATGGGAAGCTCACGGCCGCGGGGATGAGTCTGTACTTGCTGCTGCCTGTCCCACGGAGGGGACCTGCCTCTAACTCTGAGTTTATGCCTTGAAGTTCCCATCACCAGAGTGGGACACGGTGACTCCCGAAGCCAAAGACCTCATCAACCGCATGCTGACCATCAACCCCGCCAAGCGCATCACCGCGTGCGAGGCGCTGAAGCACCCGTGGATCTGCGTGAGTGGGGCCCGCCCGCCTGCCCGCGGCTGGCAGGAACGGGCTGCCTTGGCTCGCAGGGGCTTAGAGCACTTTTTGCAGGAAGAGGAGATGAGTGATTGCATTTTGTCTCCAGGTGTTTAAGGGGCTAATTCCATGGTTAAAAACACATTGTGGTAGCAGAGCTGGTTACATACATGGCCAGACCCACATGGCCGACCGTCACACGGGCGAGCGTCGCCCACTCATGACGAGGAACATTGAGGGGCAGGAGTGAGGAGGTGACGCCAGGCCTCACTGTGTCCCGGGAGGAAGGTGGCCCAGGGCCATGACTTACGATCAGGCAGCTTTAGGGAAGCGCAGGGCTGGCAGCTGAGTGGTGGTCCGAGCAGGAGAGAGGCCGCCGGAGGCCGGGCAGAGCTGTACGCCTGCTGAGAACACAGCCTGAGCGCTGGGGTGGATGGCAGCCACACCTGGGGACGCGGGTCAGATGTCAGGGTGCTACCTGCTCTGCTGACTCAAGGAGAGGCAGGCCTGTGGGGATCCGATGAGCCATGTTGAAGGGAGGTAACGGGAGAGGCTGGCTAGTGTACACAGCTGGCATGTGTGCGGAGGGTCTGGGGCCTGGCCAGGCGGTGGGGTGCTGAGGGGGAGCCCTGGGTAACGTCCCTCCTCCCACAGCAACGCTCCACGGTGGCCTCCATGATGCACAGACAGGAGACGGTGGACTGCCTGAAGAAGTTTAATGCGCGGAGGAAGCTCAAGGTGAGGGCGCTCGTGAGGCGGGGGGCGGGGGGTGGGGGGGGCGCGGGAGAGTGGCTCTGACCTGGCAGAGTGCTGCGGGTCCCCTTGGGACTTGTCTCAGGGTCTTGGGGCGTTGGGGGCGCGCGGGAAGGGACCATGGTGGAGCACTAGGCTGTGACCGCGTGTGCCTGCCCTCCCGGCCGAGGAAGCAGCTGCCGGGGAGCCTGGTGTGAACACACGGCCTCGGCCCAGAGGCCTGCTGCCCGGGAAGCCCACAGGGACTAACCGGCCGTCGCCCCTACCAGTCGGGCTGGGAGGCTGTCGGGCCTGTGTGTGGGGGCAGAGGTCGCAGAGCGCCATTGACCTGTCTTCTCTCCCTGGCAGGGCGCCATCCTGACCACCATGCTGGCCACCAGGAACTTCTCAGGTGCGTGGGGAGGACCTGGTCCTTGTCGTCTGTTATCCCTTCCAGCTCACTCTCTGGAATCGAAAAGTAATAATGATGAGGAGCACGCTGTTGTTTGGGGATGGCGATGTGTTGTGGCCTCGACCCCAACGGGCCCACAGGCTCCCCGCACGGTGGTGTGTCTGGGTTCAGGCAGGTGAGCCCCCCAAAGGGTGCGGCTGCCCCACCACCCAGCAGCCTGTGCCGACACAAGCCCCAGCTGCCGACCCTGCCTGTGTCGTCGTCGTCCTGGCTCAGCACCTGCACCTCGGATTTGTCAGCTGACGTTCCGTAAAGTTCTCAGCGAACGAGAGTCTCATTCCATCGGGAGTCCCAATAAGCGAGATTTTAAATGACCACGATGGAGGAGCCGGCTCTCTAGGCTGCCTCCTCCCGAAAGCCTGTCCTTGGTTGCAGGGGAGCCCGCTGGTGGGTGTCGGCTCAGTAGGTAGGTAGGTCCCTGGGTGCAGGGGAAGCCCGCTGGTGGGTGTCGGCTCAGTAGGTAGCTGGGTCCCTGGGTGCAGGCGGAGCCCGCTGGTGGGTGTCGGCTCAGTAGGTAGCTGGGTCCCTGGGTGCAAGTGGAGCCCGCAGTGGGTGTCGGCTCAGTAGGTAGATAGGTCCCTGGGTGCAGGGGGAGCCCGCAGTGGGTGTCGGCTCAGTAGGTAGATAGGTCCCTGGGTGCAGGGGGAGCCCGCAGTGGGTGTCGGCTCAGTAGGTAGATAGGTCCCTGGGTGCAGGGGGAGCCCGCTGGTGGGTGTCGGCTCAGTAGGTAGATAGGTCCCTGGGTGCAGGGGGAGCCCGCTGGTGGGTGTCGGCTCAGTAGGTAGATAGGTCCCTGGGTGCAGGGGGAGCCCGCTGGTGGGTGTCGGCTCAGTAGGTAGGTAGGTCCCTGGGTGCAGGGGGAGCCCGCAGTGGGTGTCGGCTCAGTAGGTAGATAGGTCCCTGGGTGCAGGGGGAGCCCGCTGGTGGGTGTCGGCTCAGTAGGTAGATAGGTCCCTGGGTGCAGGGGAGTCGCTGGTGGGTGTCGGCTCAGTAGGTAGATAGGTCCCTGGGTGCAGGGGAGTCCGCTGGTGGGTGTCGGCTCAGTAGGTAGATAGGTCCCTGGGTGCAGGGGAGTCGCTGGTGGGTGTCGGCTCAGTAGGTAGATAGGTCCCTCGGTGCAGGGGAGTCGCTGGTGGGTGTCAGCTGCCCACAGCATCCTTGCAGGATGGGGCGGCTTCAGCGAGCCCGTGAGCACAGGGAGAGTAAGTGAGGGGCTGAGCCTTGGTGCAGAGTGGGTACAGTGTTTGTTGTCTGCAGAAATGCTTGCATTTTGGGGCCCCTTCTTGACAGATTATCTCAAAAGACCTAGTTGCCACGTCAGATTCTGGCACCTGCTGGTCAGCCTGAAGTGCAGAAGGCTGGCAGAGCAAGGGAGCTGCTCTCGGTCAGTCTTCCATTTGGCCTTTGACCCTTGGAACCACTGTCAAATGACCGTCAGGAACGGGACCGGGAGAGGGTCTGCGGCGTCAGTGGGACTCTCGGGGTCTCGTCTTCTCGTCCGCTCCGCGTGGCCTGGCACCGCGGGGACGGGTGTCCCACTGTGTGTCAGCAGGGAACCCGCGGCTCCCCAGCTGCCCCTGCGTCGGCGGCAGTGAGAGCACCAGGAGCTCGGGCCCGGGGTCACCCGTTTGGGGTGAGCTCAGTTCCTCTCGTTCAATGTCACCTAGCGTCACCGTTCAAGTACATTGACACCATGTCGCGCTGGGGCCCGATGCTGGGTGAGTCGCTTGGCGTCAGGGGTCCATGCAGTCTGTGAATGGCTGACCCGCTCGTGGAAGCGTTCAGAACAGGCTGTGTGTTTTGTCAAAGCCTCAGCGCGTTCTGAGCCCCAATCGGGCCTTTGACAATGCCCGCGCCTTGCAGCCCCCTCTGGCCCGCGGGCCTCTGCTGTCCCCTCGTCCCTGGCCCCGAGCGCGTGGACAGGTGCAGGTGCTGTCCTTCCTGATGCCGCATGGGAGGCAGGCTCTGCTCCTCACTTCAGAGTCGCTGGTAACCGGAGGCCCCGCGGGTCCCAGCGCGGGCGGGCGCTGTGCCCATTCTGAGTATTTTCTTGCTTCTGTCTCGTCGCCCAGCTGCCCTGTAAAGCACAGCGGGTTGCAGAGCTGCTTTTGTGTTTCCTTCTCTCCCTCACGTGGGGGGTGCTACTGTGAGGCGAGTGCACGGACCCCATCCTTTCCACTGGTCCTGGCCCAGCCCGCCTCCGTCCTCTCTCTGCCCGCTGGGCCCCCTCTGCCCGCTGGGCCCCTCTGCCTGTTGGTATCTCTCTGCCCACAGCACATTCCCACCCACACGCTCTCCCACCTGGAGGCCCAGGGTTGCTCTTTAGCTCCAGGCGAGTAGTCTTGTTGCCCAGACAGGCTTCCTCACTCTCAGTCACTAGTCAGTCAGGAGCTGTGTTGCTATGGACTCAGAAAGTCAGGCTTTGTGTCTTAAGTTGAAAATGATGCCGAAGAACAAAGTACCGTCCCAAGGAAAAGAGATGCCGGGGAGTCGGGTGAGCATGCGGTTCTGGGGCAGCCCGGCGGTTCCTCCACCAAGTTCTCGGCCACGCACTGACCGACCCCGTGCCAGCACTGCGTCCCACTGTCTGTCGTCTGCGACCGGCGCCACTCATCACTGCGTGGTGTGTCCAAGTGCCCATCGTCAGTGCCGAGGCTCAGCACCTGGAGGGATGCTGCGCCCCCGCAAGAGCGACCTTGCTGAGGCCCGTGAGCTCCGTCCCCGGGAGCTCACTGTGGGCCCGTCCCCGGGACCTCGCTGTGGGCCCATCCCCGGGAGCTTGCTGTGGGCCCGTCCCCGGGAGCTCGCTGTGGGCCCGTCCCCGGGACCTTGCTGTGGCCCCGTGAGCTCCATCCTCGGGACCTTGCTGTGGGCCCGTGAGCTCCATCCTTGGGACCTCGCTGTGGGCCCGTCCCCAGGACCTCGCTGTGGGCCCGTCCCCGGGACCTCGCTGTGGGCCCGTCCCCGGGTCCTCGCTGTGGGCCCGTCCCCGGGACCTCGCTGTGGGCCCGTCCCCGGGAGCTCGCTGTGGGCCCGTCCCCGGGAGCTCGCTGTGGGCCCGTCCCCGGGACCTCGCTGTGGCCCCGTGAGCTCCATCCTCGGGACCTTGCTGTGGGCCCGTGAGCTCCATCCTTGGGACCTCGCTGTGGGCCCGTCCCCGGGTCCTCGCTGTGGGCCCGTCCCCGGGACCTCGCTGTGGGCCCGTCCCCGGGTCCTCGCTGTGGGCCCGTCCCCGGGACCTCGCTGTGGGCCCGTCCCCGGGAGCTCGCTGTGGGCCCGTCCCCGGGAGCTCGCTGTGGGCCCGTCCCCGGGACCTCACTGTGGCCCCGTGAGCTCCATCCTCGGGACCTTGCTGTGGGCCCGTGAGCTCCATCCTTGGGACCTCGCTGTGGGCCCGTCCCCGGGACCTCGCTGTGGGCCCGTCCCCGGGACCTCGCTGTGGGCCCGTCCCCGGGACCTCGCTGTGGCCCCGTGAGCTCCATCCTCGGGACCTTGCTGTGGGCCCGTGAGCTCCATCCTTGGGACCTCGCTGTGGGCCCGTCCCCGGGACCTCGCTGTGGGCCCGTCCCCGGGTCCTCGCTGTGGGCCCGTCCCCGGGACCTCGCTGTGGGCCCGTCCCCGGGACCTCGCTGTGGGCCCGTCCCCGGGACCTCGCTGTGGGCCCGTCCCCGGGACCTCGCTGTGGGCCCGTCCCCGGGACCTTGCTGTGGCCCGTGAGCTCCATCCTTGGGAGCTCACTGTGGGCCCATGTCCCCGGGAGCTCTCGTTTCCTTGAAGATTTCATTTTCTTTCGTGTGTGGCCTCAGATTCTGTGACTTTTAATGTTTCGGTGTGAACGGCTTTTGATTTTGAAGTCTTGTTCTGATTTTGAAGTAGAGAAGGATACATAATTTCTCTTCTAACACGTATATGCTAAGGGTTTAAAGTAGGTCAATAATATACTATTTTATTTTAAGTACAGTTATTAATATTTTTGTAAAATTGAAATCTGATTTCAAAGATACATATTTTTAAAAAGACGTTATTTCGCCAGAGAATATTTTCCCCAGCGAGTTTGAGCCTGTGGAGCAGGACTCAGGCGAGGGCTGGTATGACATGAACACTGCGCAGGTGCCGTCCGCAGACAGAGGCCGCCGGTGACAGACCCGAGGCCTCCAGCCGGCAGGAGCGGGTCCAGTGGCAGGACTGGGCATGTGTTCGCTTCTGTGCCGTGAGCGCTGAAGCAACTGGGAACCAGACTGTGTGTCCCAGGAGCTGGGCTTGTGGCCTCATGGCTGGGTGTGCGGCGTGGCTCCGCGGTGCGGGAGACAGCGACCGACTCGGTGCCGGGCCGACCCATGCAGGAGTGGCTAACACGGTCTCTCTCGTTTTGCAGCGGCCAAGAGTCTGCTGAAGAAGCCGGATGGAGTGAAGGTGAGTCACTGCTGCTGCCTGGGTGCCCCCTGCAGCGCCCGTCTCCTCTTGTTGGTTTGGTTCCTGAGCAGAGCCAGGCTGCCGGTAACATCATGTCACACACAGCCTGCAGCGTGATGTCACACAGCCTGCAGCGTGATGTCACACAGCCTGTAACGTGATGTCACACAGTCTGTAACGTGATGTCACACAGTGTGACTGGCATTCGTGCCGTAGGAGCTGCTCTGGAGCGTTGAATTCCTCTCTGGTTTCTACATTTCCAATCGTCGGGCTGACTTGACCTTTCCCAGTGTCTGTGCTGGGTTCCTGGAGGCTGCGGAGTGGGCGGCCTGTGGCCCTGGGCGCCGAGTGCTACCTCTAGGCGTCTGCCAGGCCTCCCCGGGAGGCCGCGGTCCTTGTGCTGCCATGCCGCCCAGAGGAGCTCCTGGGACATTCGGGGCAGATGTTAGTAGGTCATGGCACGTTCTCGGTTCCTAAACAAAAGCCCACCGCTGGCTCTCCGCTGATGCCGTTTGCTGCGCGGGACCCTCCTGTGCTGTGACCGTGTTGCTCCTCCCAGTGTCACCTGATGTCTCCCATTCCTCCTGCGGCAGGTGCCGCGTTCTTCGCCAGCACGGCAGCGTTCGCGGGAACTCGTTACTGTCCTCCTGTGTGACCTTGACCCAAAGTCGGTGGTCAGTCATTTGAGGCCTAAGTGGAAAACGGCCAGTCACTGTGGCCGTGCCGCCCTCGCCTCGCTGTGGGGCAGGGCTCGGGGCCGGGCCAGCCACCCCGCTGCCCAGGAGCACAGCCTCCTCTGCTCACGGCTCATGCTCCCGCCACTGCAGGCCACGGTGGGCGTCGGCCTTCCCTGGCAGCACGTCTCCCCCGTGGTTTACTCTCCGCGCTCCCTGTAGGGCCAGAGACACGGCGCTCACGGCTCCTCCTCAGGCCTGCGTGAGGCTGCGCTCGGTGCAGCAACGCGTTCCAGCTCCGCGGCCACAGCTCTCTTTCCTTCCTCCCTGGCCCAGCTCGAGTGTTGAAGGGCGTGAGGGCAGGACGCAGCCCTGCCCACCGAGGGGGGTGCAGGTCCCGCAGGCCCCGCTGGTACCTCTGAAGGGGGCTAGTTAAGTAGCCGCCCCGCCTCCTCCACCGGGACAGAGCCCAGCTTCCTCCGAAGCTGAAGGGAGGAGGCAGCTGCTGTCTGTTGACTGATCGTAAAAAAGACGGGTGTGTTTTTTTTTAACATTCTTAGCATGCTTGCTACTTTTCTGGTGTTTCTATATTTTTATTGATGTCAGAGAGGAAGGGAGAGGGAGAGAGATAGAAACATCAATGATGAGAGAATCATGGATCGGCTGCCTCCTGCAACCTCCCTCCTGGGGATTGAGCCCGCCACCCAGGCAAGTGCCCTTGACGGGGAATCAAAGGGCACCCTTCAGTCTATAGGCCAATGCTCTGTCCACTGAGCAACATCGGCCAGGGCAAGACTGGGATTATTTTTAAACGACGACTGTGATGCTGAAGTAGGGTGACTGCAGAGCAGATCGCTGTACCCCCGCGAGTGCATGTGCAGCGCAGGGTGGCCCGTGCGGCCGTCCTGGAAGCTGAGTAAATGACCCCCGAGAAATAGAGGCGTCTTGGCCGAGCCTCAGAGGACGAGTCAGTGCAGCCTTTAGGTAGCTGATGGATGTAGCCCTTTAAGAGGAAATGCTGGGCTCCACGTATAAAAGGGCTGCGTTTCCCGGCAGCCAAGGCTCCCTCTGCTCGCGGGTGCTGTGGCCCCGCCTGGTGCAGGACCCTCCGCAAGGCAGGCCTCCAGCCGGGATGCAGAGATTCTCCTCTTATTCCAATTAGTCAGCATCACACGTCCCTTCAAAGATCTGTCGTGAAATCCCATCGGCTGATCTACATCAACCGGTGCTCTTAACGCTCGTCGGCACACTGGCCGTGCCTGACCCAGGACGTGAGGTGGGGAGACGGTGTGTGTGCGCTGCCCCTCTGTGCAGATGCGCCCTGTGCAGGGGTGTGCGTGGGGGACATTTCACCAAGATGAACTGGCTCTGGGCTCCCACGTGCACGGAGCCCTCTGTCCGGGGAAGGCAGAGGCGCTGTGTGGCCGGCACAGCTCCCAGGAGTGGCCCTGCGGGGGGCGCCTCCCCTTTGCTGTGCGTTCTGTCGCTGTCTTCAATGGGCCATTTCCTCTGGCCTCTTTCTGGACGTTGCACAACGTCCATGGTGAATTCCGTGCCCTTCCAACGAAAGAAGGTTCCAGCGAACTATCTGCCAAAGACAGCCCGACGTCTCACGCTTCTCCAGCGAGGCCCGCCCCGCTCCCCCGTGTCCCCCGCGGGTCCCACCGCCCGCTGGGCACACAGGTGTGGCGGGCAGACACGTGCGGACCTGGCCCCTGTTGAACCCCATCTTCCTCGGCACTGGATGCGGCGTGAACTCTGAGTAACATAGCGGGTCCCTGGGACCCACACACTGGGTGTGACTGCTCGTAGCTGCTCTTTGGCATTGCCTTTCTGCAGCGTGTGTTTGTCTTCACGCCTCACGTGCGTCTGTACTGCACTTGTGGGATGTGCTCCTTCGGTAACAGCGTGAAGAAAGTGTGCAGAGAACGTCGTGCGAGGAAATGAGCTGATTCTGTGGGCCGATGGCCACACTGAGTTGTCAGGCGTGAGTTTAGGTGACGCGTTTAGATGATCGCGACCTGAGTCTGTGCCCATTTCGGGCCAAGCTCAGCTGCAGCCTCACGTGGCTGCTGTCTGCAGGCCTCCCTGGCGGCTGCAGCCCTGAGGGTCACACTCAGTGCCTCCCGCGGGGACAGCGGCCTCTGCAGGTGGGCGCGGAGGGAGCAGGCCGCTGGTCCCAGGGAGTCGCTGTAGCAGCAGCAGCAACCATCTCTCCTCCGCTGTGAAGAGGGAGGGGCGTTGCAGTCAGAAGAGCTCAGGTGCCCATTGTTGATGGAGGAGACCAGGCTTCTCGTGATAGAAACGTGTTGTGAAGCCGGTCTCATCAGAGGAGGAGTTTTATTGGAGCAAAGGGATGGGGCTCAGGACGGCGGTCTGTGGCGAGCTAGGCCCCAGAGTGAGTGAACCAAGCGCGTTCCCCGCAGGGCATCCACGCGGAACGCGTGAACGGCACTCGCCCGCGCCTGCTCTGTGTCCGCCGCTGGCACAGCCAGAGCAGCAAGTCCTGGGCGCCCTCCAGGTCTGGGCCCAGCCTGCGGGGACCGTTGGGGACAAGGCTGGCTCCTGTCCTGGGGCACCAGCGTCTCTCACGCTGAGGAACGCCCTTTATTCCCGTGTCGTGTCTCCACCTAGACACGCTGCAGGGAGCGCGTTAGCTCCCAGGCTCTAAGGTGTGTCTCTCTTTTTCTGCGACCCACAGATAAACAGCAGAGCCAACGTGGTAACTAGCCCCAAAGAGAACGCCCCTGCCCCGGCGCTGGTACAGCGACTCCCGCGTGCTCACTGCCCTGCCATTGCTCCCGTGTGCCCGTGTGCAGATGTGTACACACGTGTTGTTGGGTTTGGTGTTGGTTTTGCTTTCTGAGATGCGGGCATGTTCATTGTCTCCTTTTCATTTTGTTAAGGTGGTTGTCAGGCCGCGTGTGGCTAACAAGACGCCTTCATCCCATGTCTGAGCGTGGCCGCTGTGTCTCGCAGGGACATGTGCATGTGCCCACAGGGGCAGGAGAATGCGCTTCGCTGCTCGCGGCGTGGCTGCTGGAGGCTCAGAGGCAGCGCTGGCGCCCACGCAGGGCCGGGCCGCTGGCTGTGGACGGCGGCCTGGCGGCCTCCCCGGCAGACGAAGCGCTGGATTTCCAGTCTGCGCTTTGCCGCCTCGCACTGAAAGGCCCCTTTCACTTCAGCCCCGAGAAGGAGCCACGGCACAGCACCGGCCTGCCCGTTCCTGCCCCGCAGTCCCCGCCGCCCGCAGTGCGAGGTGGACGCTGGCGGCTTGGACACTAGAGTTGAGTGCTGAGCTCCCCACTGTCCCCGAGCTGTTCCGTGTTTGGGTGGATGGTTTCCAGGAAGGTTCCTGATGTTCACCGTCCTCTCTGCCACTTTAAATGAGTCCACAGTGGCCGGGATGATTCCACTTCGTTCGCCACAGGCTCCACCTCCACTTAAGGACGGACGCGTGGAGAGGGCGGTTCCCTCCCTGGCCTCAGTGCACGCGATGGTCCTGCAGGGTGAGGGCGGCCACGGGTTCTGAGGCTCCCTGCAGCCCGGCCAGGAGGGCGCACATGGCAGGGACTCCCGCTGACCAGGCGCCATCCACATGGCGCTGACCAGTCTCCACTTCGGAACATGTCTCCCATTCTCTGGTCAGAGCAATAGAGGGGAAAAGTAAAAATAATACTTCCCTCACGGAGAAAGCTGGGTTTACAGGGAGCAAGCCTTCTGGGCGCATGGTACGTGTCGCCCGTAAGCAGGAAAATTAATGTGTTAATGAGTTAACACAGGATTCTACAGCCATGTGTCTCAGATTACTGTGACTTTATGGTTCGCTCTAGAACCCCTGAAGTGAACCTTCAGTGCCCCTGAGGATTCTTCGTGGACATTTGAAAATACGTTCTTTACGATAGTGCTCTAAGTGCAGTCCCATGGAGATCGTCCAAGGGCATTTATTTGTGTATTAAATACAGTGTCAGCACCATAGTCCTGAAAACACTGCAGCTGAAAAATGCCTTCAGAGAGATTGTCCATCCTCAGAGCCCTGCGACCACGCCCTGGCCAGCGCGGGGCAGACATGGGCAGGCCTCGTGCCGGGAGCGCCTGGGGCGGGATCGGAACAGTGGCTGCCTCTGAGGTCTCCTGCGGCAGCGCCCGTCTGTGTGCCGATGCGTCAGGCCTTTGCACGCTGCTGCCGGGCAGGGCCCAGGCCCCGGAGGCCTCCCCCAGCCCTGCCTCGCAGCCCTGACGCAGCTCCATCGCTTCCGCTGCCCGGGGCCTGCGGGCTGCTCGCGCTCTCCCCACCGCCGGAGTGTACTGACCATGCGAACTGCTCTCTCTCCATTTGCTCTCACTCAGGAACCCCAAACCACTGTGATCCACAGCCCTGACGGAAACAAGGTACGCAGAGGGGGTAGCCTCTCGCTCCCCTCACACCCTCCTCCGCACAAAGTGACTCAGTGGCCGGAATGGGGGAGCCCGCCCGCCCCCACCGTGCTCCCCGTGCCTGACGACCCAGCTGCACCCTCTCTCAGGACAGGCAGATAATGACACCCTGAGAGGCGCGGGGCCGTTAGTCACTAAACGTCGACAGAGCTTCCTTCTGTCCAGACAACTGTGTCCCCCGCGAGCCCGTCGCCGCCCCCCCCGCCCCCCGTTGCACTGACGTGTGTCTGCATGGGAGTTAGGGTTTCTTGCTGTGTCATTCCTGCCTTTGGAGCTCGGGTTCGCAGGCACTTGTTCAGGTGTAATGTTGCTTTGAGTCCATTTACTCTGTTGTTACCGTGGTTTTTCCTGGAATTCCTGGTTGGTGGTGTTTGTGGTTTGGCGTGAATTTGCAGAGAATGAGGGCGTTCACTTGGGAAACGCGTTTTTGTGGAACGACATGCGTGTCAGCAGCAGGCGTGTGACTGGTTGTGCTGAGAGGAGCCTGGCGTGTCCGTCCACGGTGACCTGTCCGCACGGCGTCCTCGCTGCGTGCGAGCCGTGTGCACGCCTGGGGAGGGAGATGAGCAGGCGCTGGGCCAGCTGCATCCTCACGCACGGCTGTGGCTGCGGAGGGAGGAACCCTTCCTCCCACTTCCACAGGCGAGGCCTGGTCTGTCTGCTCACTGTGAGCAGCGAGGTTGACGTCAGAACACACTTTCTCTGGTTTAACATCGAGTGGGTCAGTGTTAAAGTCATTAGAGTAAAGACCATCATGTGCCTCCTTCTCTGTGATGAGGCGTATTTGTAGTCATGACACTGAAATGGTCTAAGGCAGCGATTTCCCACCGTTTCCCTCCCACGGCACCCACACTGGCTGCTCACTTCTGCGCGCAGTGTTCGGTCCACTCGCGCCGACGCTAGGGTTGTCATTTTCCTATTTCACAGTCTAAGGGCTGAACAGTCAGGTGTTGCACGTTTTCAACATCCTTGCGGCGCGCGGGTGGGAAATGGCTGCCCTCGGTCCCTCACACCTGGAGCCCTGAGGAGTGTCCCACGCGAGCCCGAGGTTCGCAGGGTCGCCAGCCGGGCGAGGCCAGGCGCACGCTGGGGCCTCTCGGTGGCTCTGCGGTGGCTGCTGCCTGGCTGCCTGGCTCCGTGGACGTCTGTGCGCAGGTGCCTGCACCTCCTCGCGCGCGGAAGGTGGGCCAGGCCAGGCCGAGGCCGATGACCCTGCTCTGGGCGGACGGAGACCCTGCACACGCGCTGATGGGCCTGTCCCTTTGGTTACATACTCGCTGTGACCGTCATACGAGTGGATCACTTTTTTGAATATTGGATCTCTGAGGGACGCTGGCTGGTGTTGGCACCATTTTGCAAAAGCCGTTCTTGGTCCCTGAGCACACAGCTGCTGTGGAGGTTTGTGTCCGGTGGTGTTTCTGGCCTTTGGTCACTCGAGTGGAAGGTGTGTCTCAGGAACGTGAGTGCGTTTCTTCGCTGGGAACTGCATTGACGGGCCGTGCATCGGACGCTGTGCGGAGCCGCCTCGGGCGGTCGGGCTCGGGTGCCCCCCAGCTCGGTGGCACGGGGCTCACAGAGCAGCTCTGTCGTTGTCATGGCAGCAGTGCCGCCTCGGACGTGAGAGAGAACCTCGCTGTCCTGAGTCAGTGACGCGCTGGCTGCACGGTGCTGCCCATGCGGACACTCCTGGAAGCACGACCACATCCCCCTGCCTCCTCCCCTCCTGGGGCCGGAGAGGCTCGCTCTCCTTAGGGGCTGAGACCCGCAGGCTGCCAGGTGTGCGTCTGTGCTCGCGGGCCCCCTTCAGCCAGAGCAGGGGCTGCCCCCGGATGCTAGATGGAGAATAAGAATGGTTCTGTCCTCGGTTCCTGCTCGTTAGGCTAGTAGAGCCAGTTTCTCACAGACACAGAGAACCTGGGGGCACGGGGACCCAGACGTGTCCTCAGTTCTGAGAGGCACGGCCTGAGGCTCGAGGTGAGGCCATGGGGGCGCCTTCCCCAGCGTGGGCAGCGTTTGGCATTTCATTCTGTTCCCGCCATAGGGTGTCTGTCCATTTGCATGTCCGACGTGCACACGCCTGCTGCGGGTTTGCATGACGTGAGCAGCACTCGCCAGTTTCCGGGACGAAAAGGAGCAGCTGTGCATTGTCTGCAACGTGTGTTTCCTCCACAGGAGTCCACGGAGAGCTCCAACACCACCATCGAGGACGAAGACGTGAAAGGTACGCGGAGGCGGGCGTGGGCGGCCCAGCTCCCGGCCCCTGTCCGAAAACGCGTTCGTTTCCAATAACTGATCCCTTAGGAACGGGCCTGTCGAAGACACAGAAGCAGTTTCCTCTGTGAGCCTTTGTTGGAGTTCTGGTTGTATGCACAGCTTCTGCCAGGCTCTGCCCCTGTTCTCTTCTGTCTTTAACTGTAGACGGCAGGTGGGGTATTGGAGCACATGGTGGTGAGCTCAGCGAGTAGGGACAGCTTAGAAACGCAGTGCCAAGTGGTGGCTGGACTGGCCCGAGGGAAGCATAGGACGTGCGTGTGCTGCGTGCACTCGTGACCCCCAGGGGACGATGTCCAGGCAAGAAGGGGTCTGACGGTGACGCGGTGCTGTTGAGTGGGCGTCGGTGGAACTTGCATCTGGTGGCTTCTCATTCGGGGCTCCGTCCTTCCCAACATGGTCTTGACCCCGCAGGGCAGCTGCCCAGGTCCCTTAGCCGAGCAGGTGTCTTCGCCACACCTCGCGCCATCGCACGCACGCGCACACAGGATCGCCTGCCGCGCGCCTGCTCTCTGGCCCGTGGCTGCCTTGAGGGCCCTGGGTCCCTGGTTGGCCTCTGTTCTCGTTTTGTAATTCAGTTCACGTAACTGCAGGTCCCACAGGCCAGTGCTGCACGCGGGTCCCAGGCACCGGGGGAGCAGCGGGGCGTCCAGCAGAAGTGTGACAGGAAGATGTGAACGGGGAGTGGGCACCGCGGGTTCGCCTTCCCGGGAGGTCACTCCCGATGGTGCGCCAGGGGCTGGGGTTCCAGAGGGGGCGTCGCTGAGACATCCGGGCGGCTGCCCCTCGGAGAGGCTCCCTCTGCAGCCCTTCGGTTTGCTCGGGAGCCATGGAGGAGGAAGGAGTGAGTCTCGGCCCTGGGCCTTTCCAGTCCGTTCCCCAGGCGACAGGTCTCCCTGCCAGACCCGGGTCCCGGGGACCAAGGTGTCGCAGGAGGCAGAAGGCGTGGCTGAGGGAGGGCGCTCCACGGAGGGGGCCCTAGAAGAGAGAGGTTTTACCGGTCTCTCCGTTGTGCGTCCCACGCAGCCCACGTCCTGTGGGGCCTGCAGCTGCGCCATGCGGAGAGCAGTCACACTTCCTGCCCGTGAGCAAGTCTGGAGGAGACGAGACGGTGCTGCGTGAGAATGACCGTGTTTTCTGACTGGTGTCCAGGTCATTCTACAAGGAGTCATGTGCAGTCCATTCAAACAGTCTCTGTGAGCCATTCTAGGGGGTTCCCGAGGTGCTCAGGACACGGAATTCCTAACAGAGACACCGTGTGAGACGCTGGGTGCATTCAGGTTTTAGAGACGGCCGTGGAGCACCTACTGTGCTGGGTGTGGAGCAGATTTCAAAGATGCATATTTGTAACTGCCTGCCTGCTGAGCCGACCCAGGGACCCTTACCATGTCCACGTCACCGCGTATGAGTAAAGTCATGTGGCTCTTAGCTTTTTAGAGTAGAAGGCGGCGCTTTCCAGGCCTTATGGTTGTGGAGTGTTACCGTCACTAAGCCGCCTCCAGGGGCCAAAGTAATGGCCATGACGCTCCATGTTAACTAGCAGGTCGACTTGCGAGGGGTCAGGCCGCTAAGAAGCAGCCGCTAGTTGGCGGGAAACTCCCCGCGAGGCCCCTGTAAAAGCACCAGAGCGTGAGGACGGCCCTGAGCGGTGCCCGTCCCGGGAGTTGCTTCTGCCGACGGCCCGGAAGACCGTGAGGCCACGGGCACCGCTCCAGGCGTCGTGTAGCCGTCAGTCAGTCCTGGCCCAGCCATCCCGTGTCAGTCACCGTGCTTGGCGAGTTCAGAGGCATTTTAGGAGCCTCATTTAAGTTTACCATTTCAAAATAGTGAGCTGGGCACCAGGGGCTGGAGAGGAGCCGCTGAGTGACTGGGCAGCAGGCGCCTCGAGCCACATAAAGCTCCGCCCTGGCCCCGCCTCGCAGCCCCAGCCTGCAGCCCCCACCCGGGCTCTGAGGTGGAGGGCGGCCCTAAGCAGAGCTCCGTGTGGGCAGACAGCGACACGGAACTGCCAGCTAACGATGCACCGCAGACAGGCGGCAGCACACTGCGCTTCCCACGGACAGGCCCCCTTCACGCAGAGCTCACTGTTCAGTGAGACACCTGCCAACGTGGGGTGAGGGTCCGCCCCCAGGCGTGAGCCCGGTTCATTCCTGGCCGAGCTCGTCGCAGACCCGCTGGCTCCTGCGTCAGGCGCACTAGCCACGCTCACGCCACGGCCCGGCGGCTCCAGAGCCCGGTGCAGCCTCACGGCACCTGGGCCTTTCTCTGCCCCCCACCCCCTTGGAAAGGACTGACTCACCACGCGGTTCTCTCGCTGCGCCTGTGCGGGCGTCTCGCTGGGCCTCGCGTGTGGTGGACCTGCTGACCTGAGGCGGTGACGGCCGCAGGTGCCTCTCGGGCTGCCTGGCCACCCCCAGACCACACGCGGGTGGCATCGCTGTGCGCTGGCACGTGGAGTCCTCAGAGGTCCCCGTGTCCACAGACGGGGTCCCTGCCGGCTGTTAGCCATGCACAGGCGTGGACAGGCGCTCCGTCCTGGGTGGGAGGTAGGCTGTGGGCCAGGACTGGTCAGACCTGTGAACACCTGTTGCTAAACCAGGACCTTGGAGGCCGATGGCATCCTAATGAAGGGCTCGTAGCCACGTGCTGGCCAGAGAGAACGGTCCTGGGCGCCAGCTTGACCGCCAGCAGCAGGCGGTGGGAGCTGGTCCGTCCTGGCCTGCTGTGCTGGCGTGTTCCCGTGTGGGTCGGGGGACAGCTGGGAGCTGCTGTGGGAGAGCTCCTGGGGTCCCTGGGAGATGGGGGAGGGGGTTCTGGGACGGGCAGCCCACAGGAAGGGGAGCCGTGCTGACTGGAGGGGTGGTGACGCCTGCAGTCGGGTGTGAGCAGGAGGCGGGAGCCTGGTGGCCGGTTCCTCCGGGATAATCACCAGGTAGCGCCTGGAGGTGGCTGCTCCCGCCAGGGTCCGAGGGAGGCCGCAGGGGTCTGTGTGGGACAGCTCGGGCTTGTCTGTCACCGGGGACTGTGAGGTCGGGGGCATGAGGGGTCGCAGCCAGGACACAGGGTGAGCGGGGCGGGGAGCCTGGGGGGCCCCAAGGTGAAGCCCATGTGGAGGAGGAGCCTGGCCTTGGGGCCGTGGTGGGTGGGGCCGCTGCTCCAGCAAAGGCTCTGCAGCCCTAAGGACGGGGAGGAGGGGGAGGACGGAGAGGAGGGGGAGGGCGGGGAGGGGGGAGGACGGGGAGGAGGGGGAGGATGAAGAAGGGGTTGAGGATGGGGAGGACGGGGAGGAGGAGGAAGGGGGTGAGGATGGGGAGGAGGAGGGGGAGGACGAGGAGGAGAGTGAGGACAGGGAGGGGGAGGAGGGGGAGGATGGGGAGGGGGGAAGACGGGGAGGAGGGGGAGGATGAGGAAGGGGTTGAGGACAGGAGGAGGGGGAGGACGAGGAAGGGGGTGAGGATGGGGAGGAGGAGGGGGAGGACGAGGAGGAGAGTGAGGACAGGGAGGGGGAGGAGGGGGAGGGGGGAAGACGGGGAGGAGGGGGAGGATGAGGAAGGGGTTGAGGACGGGAGGAGGGGGAGGACGAGGAAGGGGGTGAGGACGGGGAGGAGGAGGGGGAGGACGGGGAGGAGGGGGAGGATGAGGAAGGGGTTGAGGACGGGAAGAGGGTGAGGGTGGGGAGGACGAGGAAGGGGGTGAGGACGGGAAGAGGGTGAGGACAGGGAGGAGGAGGGGGAGGATGGGAAGAGGGTGAGGACGGGGAGGAGGAGGGGGAGGACGAGGAAGGGGGTGAGGACGGGAAGAGGGTGAGGACAGGGAGGAGGAGGGGGAGGATGGGAAGAGGGTGAGGACGGGGAGGAGGAGGGCGAGGACGAGGAAGGGGGTGAGGACGGGAAGAGGGTGAGGACGGGGAGGAGGAGGGGGAGGACGGGAAGAGGGTGAGGACGGGGAGGAGGAGGGGGAGGACGAGGAAGGGGGTGAGGACGAGGAGGAGGGGGAGGAGGGGGAGGACAGGGAGGAGGGTGAGGACGGGGAGGAGGAGGCGGAGGACGAGGAAGGGGGTGAGGACGGGGAGGAGGGCGAGGATGGGGAAGACAGTGAGGACGGGGAGGTCCGGGGTTTCAGGGCGACAGAGGGCGGTGGCCTTCAGAGTACAGCAGGGCCAGAGCCTTCTTAGCACAGGGGTCACTCCGCATGGATCAGGTGGTGACAGGGAAGGGGTCCCGAGGCCGCAGCTGCGATGGGAGTGAGCACACGGCGGCCTCAGCGGACCGATGCCGGGTGAGGAGGAGAGAGTCCCAGGTGGGGTTCCAGCCCAGCCGGCTCCTGACCACGAGCAGGTGTGGGCCGGGCAGCAGGTCCTTGTGGGTTGGCGTGGATACCACCCATGGCCATCTGACCAGCGCCCCCGGCACTGAGCGCGTGGTCAGCTCCCTGAAGGCTCCTCAGTGCGGCGGCTCCGCTGGCACAGAGCAGAGCAGGGGGTGCAGTTCCTTTGGTTAAACTGGGGGTGGGTGGCATAGTGCTGTTAGCACAGAGCCCAGGCCCCGTGCGGGGCTCGGCCTGAGGGCCGGCCTGTGAACCAGGAGGTCAGGGTTCGATCCCCAGTAGGGGCACAGGCCCAGGTTGCGGGCTCGATCCCCTGTGTGGGACGTGCAGGAGGCAGCCGGTCAATGATTCGATTCTCATCATTGATGTTTCTCCCCCCCCCCCCCCGACTTCCTCTCTCTGAAATAAAAGCATTTTTTTAAAATATATTTATTGATTTTTTACAGAGAGGAAGGGAGAGGGATAGAGAGTTAGAAACATCGATGAGAGAGAAACATCGATCAGCTGCCTCCTGCACATCTCCCACTGGGGATGTGCCCACAACCAAGGTACATGCCCTTGACCGGAATCGAACCTGGGACCTGTGAGTCCGCAGGCCGACGCTCTATCCGCTGAGCCAAACCAGTTAGGGCATAAAAGCATTTTTTAAGGCAAAAAATTGAAATAAACCGTGGTACCAAACTACATTTATTTTAATGAAAAATAAGAACAGAGCCTGGGCCTTCAGGCGCTGTCCAACATCAGCAGGGCATGGCCTCCTGGGATTGCGCCCTGGGTCGCGAGGGGGGGGGGAGTCGGGGGGGGGTCCCTAAGTGGCCGAGAAGGCCCCATGGGCGGGCGGGGAGGAGCCAGGTTGGTGGTGGCTGCTGAGCTGTGTGGAAGGGAGACAGCAGGCTGCCCGGGGGCCTTGTCCCACGGCGTCTGAGGGAGGAAAGGCCGTGTCATGGGGGGGGCGGGGGGGGTGGTGTTGGTCCTTGTTCTCACCAGCTTGTCCCTTTGCCTTTAGCTCGGAAGCAGGAGATCATCAAGGTCACGGAGCAGCTGATCGAGGCCATCAACAACGGGGACTTCGAGGCGTACACGTGAGTGTGGGCTGCGTGGCGGGCGGGCATCCTCCGCGCCCAGTTCATGGGGTAACCCAGGCTCCCGTGTCAGCAGCAGCCTTAGTTCAAGGGGTAAAGGACTCACATGCCCAGAATCAATAGGTGTCGGGGTTTCAGGAGACGGACTTCTGAGAGGCCTGGGGTTCCTCGGCGGGGGGGGAGGGGGGAGGCAGTCAGCTCCACCGCTATAGGCAAAGACAGGGCAGGAGCACAGAGAGGACACAACACGGGGCTCCAACTGGCCTTGCAGTTCCACAGGGGCGCTGGGGAGGGGGGACACAGGGAGAGGGGCGTGGGGGAGGGGGGCACGGGGGGGAGGAGCGCGGGGGAGGGGGACACAGGGAGAGGGGCACGGGGGGGGGAAGGGGGCGCGGGGGAGGGGGCGTGGGGGAGGGGCATGGGGGTGGGGTGCGGGGGAGAGGGGCGCGGGGGGGGGGGGTGTCCGTGATGGATGTCAGGCAGCCTCCACCTTCGGCAGCCCCACTTGACTGTGAGGTGAAAATTGGGCTCCCTGTGCCCCAGCGGGCCCCTCGCTGGAGAGGGTCTGACTGTGGCTGGGATGGCCCCTGGGCCTCTGGGTTAAGCAGAAGGAGTGGCTGTGAGGAGCTGATGGCCCGGCTGCCTGAACAGGAAATGGAGGCGGCAGCCACAGGCGGGCCTAGGACCAGAGGCTCCTGGGTGCTGAGAGCGAGAGCAGCCCTGGGCTGAGGCGGTGGCCGTGGCTGCGTGCGGGTTGGAGGGTTAGGAAGTCCCGTCACTTCAGGCCTGGGTTCTACCCACGAGCATGTCACACGGCCCTGGGCTTGAATCTGAAACATGGACAAGACCATGAACCAAGATGTGCATTGAAGCAACGTTCGTAACAGAACTGGAAACGCCTCTGTGCCCCACGTGACGGGCAGAGGGTCTGTGGTGCGTCCGGGTGCTGCAGACACGGCAGAGAGATGGCGGCGCTCGCGGCGCCCGCGGCGCGGCACGTCAGGCGGATGTGAGCCTGTTTCCAGACGATTCCCGCGCCGTGAGCATCATGGGACGTTATTCTCAAAAAGGAAATAATGTGTTGCTTTTGGGAGAACAAATGGGAGTTCCCACTTCTTCCCGCGTTTGAAGGTATTTCTTCACCATCGGCTACAACGGGCAGCACAGGCACATGTAGACACGCGGGAGTGACAGCAAGCGACCGGATCCCGGCCAGCACTGCTCCCAGGCTATGCTACGTGTGTGCTACTGCAGACACACACGGTGTGTGGGTGTGGACCGCTCCCCAGGTTACATGTGTGTGCTAGTGCAGACACGCACATGTGTGTTTCCATGGACCGCTCCCCAGGTTACGTGTGCGCGCTAGTGCAGACATGCACATGTGTGTTTCCATGGACCGCTCCCCAGGTTACATGTGCGCTAGTGCAGACACGCACATGTGTGTTTGCTGCATCAACTCCAGAACATGGCCTCGGAAGAAGGGCGGGAGACGTGGGATGAACAGCGCTTGGTCGGACACCTGCCCGCTCTCCTGCTGGTTGGACTGTCACCAGGCGACCCTCCCACAGAGCCGCTCCTGCTCAGGCTCCGTGTGGAACGGGGGAAGGATGCTCCCTTGGGGCCCAGCCCGGCAGAAGTGGCCAGCAGGGCGCCTGGTCCTCCGTTTAAGGGCACTTGAAGCGAGGCGCTTCCTTGGCGTCCCCTCAGCTCCCGATGCCCTGGCGGAGGTCGCCTGACTGCACGGCGGCCCAGGGACAGCCCCCTGGCCTCTCCTGCGAGCCGCCTGCCCGAGACCCTGTCCAGAGCCGCACCACAGGCCACGTGAAGCTTCGTGAGCCATGCTTTCACGCAGAGTGGTTACAGGAGGGACACGTATGTACATACGCGCATGAGTGAAGAGATGGACAGGTTTGGGCGGCTGGCTCAGGGATGGTCGTAGCGAGCGATCCTTGGTGAGTCCTGGCCGGCGAGTGACAGCTCGGCTCCCCAATGCTGACAGCCGCATCTTCTCTGGAGGAGCCCAGCCGCCCCAGCCTGCTGGTTACCATGGGAACACTGTGCTTCCCAGGCTCCTTAGAAAGAGGCGGATGTGCTGGCGTTGAGCTTGACAACACCGGAGTCTCAGGCAGAGCCCAGACCCCGGCCACGCCCTTTCCAGGCTTCCTTCCCACGGAGCAGCCGCTGTGATGTCTCCTTTTAAAACGACGGCTACGGCTGTTCTCACACTCAGTTCCGCGTCCCACGGACGGAGCTTTCGGAACCCTGCGTCCACCTTGTGAAACCTGGTCCTGTCGGCAGTGAGGACGCCTTCCCTCCCCAATGGGACTTGCCCTGTGGAACATAGGTGCCGACCTCGCAGAACAGAACTAGTCCAGAACCTTCCATGGCGGCTCCCTTCTCCCGTGTGAACTTACACGAATTCTTCACGCCGAGTTTAGGTCTCTCCTCAGAGGCCCACTCTGATCCGGGAATGCCTCCCCGCGTGCCCCGGGGACTTCTGCACACCCAGCGACGCTCCTGCCAGACCATCGTCGTCCCAGACTCACTGCGTTTCATGCCCTGTGCCGGCTGCTCGCTGCCCTCGCTGCCTCCCCCCGCCCGGCCCACCCCACACACATACACACTCCAGGGAAACGCACCACGGTGCAAGCCCAGCTCAGATTCCGTCTGCCTGTCTTCCCGTCTGTGACAAGTGACCTGTTAGTGAGCCTCTGTGTATTGCTCCTTCAGGACCCATTGTCGTGTCATAATTGCTTGAGAGAATGTCTGCCACATAATAGGTGTTAAAAGGAAGCCCTTCGCTGTCTCTGAAGACGCATTTAAAATGGTGCCGCACTTTGTGGAATCCAATTTCTTGGATTAAAGAGGAAACTATGTGCATTTGAACCGCTCATTACTTTCACGTGGGAAGTTAATAAACCGTAAACAGAGGTGACTAAGCTTGCGAACACTTCCAGGAAGCTGGGGTGACAGCCGCTTTCTCGTCGATCTGGACGTAGAAGTGTGTTGTGATGGAGAAGGTGTACAATTAGCCCAAAAGTGTTTCATTTCAGAGCCAGGCGGGCTGGGTGAGCTTGGGCAGCATCTCCACACAGTAAGCTTAAAGCGAGAGTGAGAGCAGCCGGGGCGGTCGAGGGACCACTCCTGGCACTGACCCAGGAGGAGCTTGTAAAACCCGGGGTGCCAGCCTGCCCTCTCCTCCCCTCCCCATCCTCCCCCCAGGCAAGGCCAGGCAGGGGTTATAGTTGTGTTTTTTAAACTCTTCTTCGCTCACTTGGGTGGGCCAGAATGGACGTGTGTGAGACAACAAGATACAGCAGTTCTTTCCTTGATTATTTTCATCTTTTTTTCTTACAGAAAAATCTGTGACCCGGGCCTCACTGCTTTTGAGCCGGAAGCTCTGGGCAACTTGGTGGAAGGGATGGACTTCCATCGGTTCTACTTTGAAAACGGTACATTCACCCTAAATCCATAGCATGCCTTTCCCAGCTGCTCTCGGGATTTCTCCCCAGTTTGCAGATTCTGTGGCTCTTTGATGCAATGACTATTTTAATCTTTCAAATTGGAAAAATCGACAGGGTTGCCCGGCGGGTGCAGCTCAGTAGATTGAGAGTCGTCCCATGTACTGAGAGGTCATGGTTTGACTCCTGGTCAGGGCACAGGCTCGAGTTCCAGGCTCGATCCCCAGTGTGGGGCGTGCAGGAGGCAGCCAGTCAATGTTGATGCTTCTCTCTCATCACTGTTTCTCTCTCCCCTTCTCCCTTCCCCCACCTCCCTCTCCCTCCCTCTCTCAAAATCAATAAAAAACATTAAAAACTCGGCAAGGTTAAAAGTGTTAGTGTGCTTGGAAAAATACCAGATTTTGTATGAAAAGTAGTGCTGATCGAATACACCGATGCAGGCCCCAGTAAAGGTGACGTAGGTGGCAAAGTGAGTTCCCCAAAAGGCGCTGTTTCAAGTTTCCATAAAACATGGTTCACATGGAAAGCAAAGAAGCCGACCATCCAGAGCGCGGCCCAGCCCACCCGGACCCCCATCAGAGCGAAGGCCCGTGACCGTGAGGCTGCAGGCCGCGTCCAGGGACAGCTCTACGGCCTCCGAGGAGACCGCGCTTCAGAGCAAGTGACAAAGGAACGCCTGCAGGAGAGCCGTGCCTCCCGCTCGGACAGAGCTGAGTGAGGAGGACAGTCCCGTGTCCGCAGGGGCCTCAGCCCGGCCCGGGCGTGGCAGCAGCGTGGCTTTGCGTGCGTGGCGGGAGTGCTCTGTCTACTGCGCTGCATTTGCGAGCAAACATGATGATCGTGGTCAGCTGGCCTCGCCCAGCTTCCCGGTGGCCTCGCCTCTGCCCTGGCTCCAGGGGAGGGACCAGGGACACCTGCCTGACCAGCACACACCGCACAGCGCCCTCCACGCCTGCCGCCCTCTGCGGGTGCCGGGCCTGGCGCCAGCGCACGCATCCCCTCCACGGGCGGGAGCAGGTTTGCCTGAATCAGGTGGCTCAGCCTGTGGGGCCTACGAGGACCTGCGCCCTCTGCACGGACTTCCATGCCTTTGTCCTCCCGTCAGCACCGAGGCTATAGCCGGCGGGCCGCACGGCCAGCACAGGCCTGGGCTGCTCGCTGGGCGGGCAGCTGGACTGGCCTGGGTGGGCGTGCTGAGCAAAGGGCACAGGCAGGGGGACACTGCGCAGGCCTCTTACCCGAGACAGCAGCCTCCATGCCTGTTCCACAGCTCCCTGCCCCACACACGGCACCACCAGGACACACAAGGCCCTGGGTCCCGTCCTGGCAAAGACAGGGCCTGCCCTGCCTGTGTCTGTGACCACTTCCCGTCACAGAGACAGACACGTCTCCGTTCTCCCCACCGACCCACCTCTCCCGGCAGCACTGCCTGCCGGGGCCGAGGGAACAGTACTGGCCCTGCCCCTCTCTGTGGCAGCGCCAGGCCCTCAGCAGTGAGGCGTCCGCTGAATCGGGGAGGAATGAGTGGCGCTCGCTCGCCGATCCGCTGAACATCCTGGTTGTGTGTCTGCGTGGAGCTGAGTGCTCTTTCCTCTCTGCAGCACTGTCCAAGAGCAGCAAGCCCGTCCACACCATCCTCCTGAACCCGCACGTGCACCTGCTGGGCGAGGACGCGGCCTGCATCGCCTACATCCGGCTCACCCAGTACACGGACGGCGGCGGGAGGCCCAGGACCATGCAGTCGGAGGAGACGCGCGTGTGGCACCGCCGGGACGGGAAGTGGCAGAACGTGCACTTCCATCGCTCGGGGTCCCCCACGGTGCCCACCAAGTAAGTGTCCCCCGCGGTGCCCACTCCCCCGCAGTGTCCACTCCCCCACGGTGCCCACCGAGTAAGTGTCCCCCGCGGTGCCCACTCCCCCACGGTGCCCACCGAGTAAGTGTCCCCCGCGGTGCCCACTCCCCCACAGTGTCCACTCTCCCACAGTGCCCACCGAGTAGGTGTCCCCTGCGGTGCCCACCGAGTAGGTGTCCCCCGCGGTGCCCACTCCCCTGCAGTGCCCATCGAGTAAGTGTCCCCCGCGGTGCCCACTCCCCCGCGGTGCCCACCGAGTAAGTGTCCCCCGCGGTGCCCACCGAGTAGGTGTCCCCCACGGTGCCCACCGAGTAGGTGTCCCCCGCAGTGCCCACTCCCCTGCGGTGCCCATCGAGTAAGTGTCCTGGCCGCCAGGCGGTCACTCAGCCACTGCTCCTAGAGGGTGTTACACGTGGGAGTGGGCGTGTCCCGGGAGACAGTCACCATGCGTTCAGTGTGGGCTGACTGCTGCAGTGTCTCCCTGTAGGGTCAGGTGGGAACTAGGGCCCATCTCGGGCTGGGCTGTCAGCACCAATCAGGGTCCATGTCTGCTTTGCTGTCACACGGGCAGTGGGAGAGCTGAGGGGGGAGCATTGGGGGGTTTCCAAAGTGTAGGTGTGGCCTCAAGAGCCTCAGCCCCCAGTCCACACACACCCCCCACCCTGGCTGGTCACAGTCTTCAGGGACATTTATAAAACACAGCACTTCTTACTTTATTTTAATCTCTTTTATTTATTAAGTTGATTGGGGTGACATTCCACAAGAGCATACAGGTTTCAGGTGTGGGTTTCTATGTGACGAGATCGGGGCATTGCACCGTGTGCCCACCACCCAAAGTCACGCCTCCTCCTGTCACCTCATATGAGGGCCCCTGCTCCCCAGCCTCTTCCCTCTGGCAGCCGCCACACCGTTCGTGCTGTTTATGTTCCTGAGTTTCAGTTTTATCACCCACGTATGAGTAAAGTCATATGGTTCTTAGCTTTTTCTGGCTGATTTATTTCACCTAGCATAATGTTCTCAAGGTCCATCCATGGCGTTATTTTGTCCTTTCTTATGGCTGAGCAGTGTTCCATTGTGTTAATTTGCATATCTCGCTGATTAGCCAATGGGAAGGGTAGCGAAGTTATGGTTAATTACCATGTTTCTCTATTATTAGATAGGACTAGAGGCCCGGTGCACAAAAATTTGTGCACTGGCGTGCCGGGAGCTGGTCCATGCTTGCTGTTTCAAGGGACCTGGCATATATGGCATACTGTTCTTAATATGTTTGCTCACCTTCTTGGCACTATGTGTTTTAACCAAGGTCTCTGAGAAAGGTTGTTTCCCCAGGTAGGGATTTTCCCCTGAAGTTAGGGAGGGAATAAAACCTCTTAACTAAGTGCCAGGTGGGTAATTAATCACTTTAACTATGAACAATCATGCTTAAGCTACATAATCTTTACTCCCTGGAATGGAGATAAGAAACGCCCTAACTTTTGGAATAGAGATTGATAGGATTGGAATCAACTGGTATAAATACAGATGTAACAAGACAGAACTTAGAAGACAGAACTTAGAAGACAGAACCAAGAGAGGCAGAACTTACACACAGAACCTACACACAGAACCTACACAGAACCTAGAGACAGAAGAACTTCACTGGAGAGAACATGGCAAAAGATCCTGGACAGAAACTGGAGACAGAGCCTAGAGACAGAGCCTAGCTACAGAACCTGGATAGAACATGGCAAGAAAACCTGACTAGAACCTGGTGACAGAACCTGGCTGGAGAACCTAGCAAGAGAACATGGACACAGAACCTGGCTGGAGATCCTAAGCAGAACCTCTCTGGAGATCCAGACCAGAACTTGGCTGGAGATCCTGGCTGGAGATCCTGGCTAGGCTGCTGATCAACTGAACACTGTCTCCGTGTCCTTCCTTCTTTGCCGACTCCATCTATGCCTTTGGGAACCCCTGGACCTGCTGGGGTTGGACCCCGGCATCTGGCACCCGAACAGGGACCTGAACCCTGGCCACAGAACCTAGGGAGAGAACATGGCTTTAAAAGATCCTGGACAGAACCTGACTACAGAACTTGGTTGGAGAACCTAGACAGAACCTGGCGACAGAACCTGGCTGGAGAACCTAGCGAGAGAACATGGCAAGAGAACCTGGACAGAACTTGGCTGAAGATCCTGGATAGAACCTGGCAGGAGAACCTCTCTATGCTGATCAACAGAACCTGGCTGGAGAACCCAACCATGCTGATCAACTGAACGCTGCCTCTGAGTCCCTCTTCGCTGACTCCATCCACACCTTTGGGGACCCCTGGACCTGCTGGGGCTGGACCGCAGCATCTGGCGCCCGAACAGGGACCCCTAGGTAAGCCCCACTCTCGGGATGGATAGGACTCCACCGTAGGAAGAGGGTGGATAGTCTTCGCCGACTCCGTCCACACCTTTGGGAAGCCCTGGAACAGGATTCCCCTAGGTAAGACCCCCCCCCATTGAGAACCCCCACACTCGGGACGGATAGGACTCCACCAGGGTACTGCAGACCCCCCTATAGAGGATAAGTAGGGTAAGAAGGTGGATAGTACAGAACTTAGATTGAGAAGATGTGCCATACTGAGTCCAAAGAAAGAAGACTCTGTATTGATTCTTAGATTGAGAAGATGTGCCATACTGAGTCTAAAGAAAAAAGACTCTGTATTGATCTTTTAACACATATGCTTGCTAGCAGAGGAATTAAGGTTACTCCCAGTCAGACAGAACGTTTTATACAAGAAGTATGTCCATGCTTTTCTGAGGAAGGAAAGGTAAATGTAAAGGCATGGGAGGAGGTAGGCCCAAGGAGCCTTATCCTTAACCCCACTGCAGCCTTTCCACCCCGGGAAAGTGCAGGATTGGCAAGCTCTCCCTGGGGTGATAGATCAGGACTCAGGTAATAGCGGAAAGCACCAATCCTACTCTTAAAATGGATACAAGAGAGCATTTGGGGTTTTTCTTTTTAATGCCTGCTTTTAAAAAATAAAAAAGGGGGAGTTTGCCGGGAGCCGGTCCATCCTTGCTGTTTCAAGGGACCTGGCATATATGGCATACTGTTCTTAATATGTTTGCTCACCTTCTTGGCACTATGTGTTTTAACCAAGGTCACCTCTCTGAGAAAGGTTGTTTCCCCAGGTAGGGATTTTCCCCTGAAGTTAGGGAGGGAATAAAACCTCTTAACTAAGTGCCAGGTGGGTAATTAATCACTTTAGCTATGAACAATCATGCTTAAGCTACATAATCTTTACTCCCTGGAATGGAGATAAGAAACACCCTAACCTTTGGAATAGAGATTGATAGGATTGGAATCAACTGGTATAAATACAGATGTAACAACACAGAACTTAGAAGACAGAACCAGGAAGACGGAACCTACACAGAACCTAGAGACAGAACTTCACTGGAGAGAACATGGCAAAAGATCCTGGACTGAACCTGACTACAGAAATTGGCAAGAGAACCTGACTAGAACCTGGTGACTGAACCTGGCTGGAGAACCTGGACAGAACCTGGCTGGAGAACCTAGCGAGGGAACATGGCTACAGAACCTGGCTGGAGAACCTGGAGAACCTAGCAAGAGAACATGGACACAGAACCTGGCTGGAGAACCTAGCGAGGGAACATGGCTACGGAACCTGGCTGGAGAACCTAGCAAGAGAACATGGACACAGAACCTGGCTGGAGATCCTAAGCAGAACCTCTCTGGTGATCCAGACCAGAACCTGGCTGGAGATCCTGGCTAGGCTGCTGATCAACTGAACACTGTCTCCGTGTCCTTCCTTCTCCGCGACCGAACCTGGCTGGAGAACCGACAGAACCTGGCAATAGAACCAGGCAAGAGAACCCAACCATGCTGATCAACTGAACGCTGCCCCCGAGTCTTTCCCTCTTCGCCAACTCCATCCACACATTTGGGGACCCCTGGACCTGCTGTGGTTGGACCCCAGCACTGGCGGGGGGGCGTGTCCCTCAGCCCCACTTGTGCCCTCTCGCAGTCTGGGACCCCTCAGGAGATAACGACCTGCTGGCTTAGGCCCTCTCCCAGGTGGCAGAGGGCAGGCCCAATCCCTAGGTACAGCCCCTCGTCGGGCTCAGAGCAGGGCTGATTGGGGAGTTGGGGCGCCGCCCTCTGTCATGCACAGAGCAGGACGGATCGGGAGGTTGCGATGCCACCCCCAGTCATGCTCAGGGTAGGGCCGATTGGGGGGTTGGGGCGCCGCCCCCTGTCACACACAGAGCAGCTCCGCTGATCCCGGTGCTAGGAGGCCTCGCTGCTCCGCTGATCCCTGGTTCGGGAGGCCTCGCGGCTCTGCTGATCCCGGTGCTGGGAGGCATATTACCCTTTTACTATATAGGATAGAGGCCTGGTGCACAGGTGGGGGCCGGCTGGTTTGCCCTGAAGGGTGTCCTGGATCAGGGTGGGGGTCCTGCTTGGGTGCCTGGCCAGCCTGGATGAGGGGATGATGGCTGTTTGCAGCTGGTCACACCCCCTTCAGGGTGGGGGTCCCCACTGGGATGCCTGGCCAGCCTGGATGAAGGGGTGATGGCTGTTTGCAGCTGATCACACCCCCTTCAGGGTGGGGGTCCCCACTGGGGTGCCTGGCCAGTCTGGGTGAGGGGCTGAGGGCCGTTTTCAGGCTGGCGGGCGACTGAAGTTCCCAACCTCTCCTTTTTTTATTTTTTTTATTCTGGGATTTATTTACCTTCTATGGCTGTCACTGGAACTGAGAGCCGGCTTTAGCTCTGAGGCTCAGCTCCAGCTCTGAGACCTCGGCTGCTGAAAGCAGGTATCTGGTTTGTTTGGCTTCTATAATTGAAACACTGCTGCAACTCCAGCTCGGGCCGGCTGGCTGAAAGCATGGGGTTTGTTTAGCTTCTATAATTGCAACATTTTTTCTTAGAGTGCAGCTCAGAGGCCGGCAGCAGCAGGCGGGGAACCTTGGCTTCCTCCATCACTGGAGCAAGCAAGCCTCCTGTTCACTTCAGCTGCCTGGCTGCCGGCCGCCATCTTGGTTGGCAGTTAATTTGCATATCGCCCTGATTAGCCCATGGGAAGCGTGTCGGAGGTACGGTTAAATACCATGTTTGTCTATTATTAGATAGGATTGGCTGTTTGTATGTCTTCTTGGGAGAGGTGTATTTTCAGGTCCTCTGCCCACTTTTTGTTTGGGTAGTTTGTTTGGTGTTGAGTTTTATGAGTTATCCATATATTTTGGAAATTAAATCTTTGTGGGAGCCACTGTTTGTAAATATCACCTCCCATCTGATTGGCTGCCTCTTTGTTTTGCCATCAGTTTCTTCTGTGCAGAAGCTTTTTAGTTTTAGTTCCATTCATTTATTTTTGCCTTTACTTCCCTGGCCTTTGGGTTCAAGTTCATAAAATGTTCTCTACAATCAAGGTCCATACATTTGGTGCCTATATTTTCTTCTATGTAATTTATTGTCTCGGGTTTTATATTTAGGTCTTTGATCCATTTTGAGTTGATTTTTTAATGTTTTTACTTATTTCAGAGAGAGGAGGGGGAGAGAGAGAGAAACCTCAATGATGAGAGAATCATTGATCGGCTGCCTCACACTCCCCCTGGCCCCCAGGAATGAGCCTGCAGCTCTGGCATGTGCCCTGACTGGGAGTCAAACCAGGCATGACCTCCTGGTTTATGGATCAACCTGAGGCAGACCAGCCAGCTTGAGTTCATGTTTGTACCTGGGGACGAACTACAGTCCAGCTTCATTCGTTTGCCTGTGGTTTTCCACGTCCCCAGCACCACTGATTGAAGAGACTGTCTCTACTCCATTGTTTCTGGCTGCTTTGTTGAAAATTACCTGCCCAGATACCTATGGTTTTATGTCTGGGCTGGCAGTTCTGGTCCATTGGTCTGTGTGTCTGTTTCTCTGCCAGTGCCTTGCTGTTTTGATGATCGTAGCTCTGAAGTGTAATTTGAACTCAGGCAGCGTGATACCTCCAGCTCCGTTCTTTTCTCTCAGGATGGCTTTGGCTGTTCCGGGTCTTTTGTGGTTCCATACAATCTAATGGCTTCTCGTTCTAGCTCTTCAAAAGATGACATGGGCACTCTGATGGGAAACGCATTAGGTCTGTAGGTTGCTGTGGGTGATGTGGCCATTTAACTGGCTGATTCTTGCAGCCTGTGAACACGGAGTATTTTCCATGGTGTTGTGTCTTTTTCAATCTCTTAGTAATGCTTTGTCATTTCCGGTTTATACGTCTTTCACGTTCTTTATTAAGTTTATTCCTAGGTATTCTTTTGGCTGCAAGTGCAAAAGGAATTGCGTTTTGTTTGTTTTTTCATTTCTTTTTCTGAGGTTTTGTTGTTAGTGTACAGGAAGGCAGTGGGTTTTGCACATTGATTGTGTATCCTGCAGCTTGACTGTGTTTGTTTGTTGTTTGTAGTTTTTTGTGGAGTCTTTAGGGTTTTCTCTGTGCAGCATCATGTTGTCCGCAAAAAGGCGGTGGGCGGAGCTCGGGGACACGGGAGGAGGCCTGGCGATGCCTGGACGCTGGCGGTGGTGGAGTGCGGCTCCCCTGCCGTGGGGGGACTGGGGGGACGGGGGCACGGCTGATGAGAAGCGGTAGGGCGTGTCTCCGTGCAGGCGTGGCCCCTCCTGACCTCAGCCGGTACTCTCGCCAGGCTCACCCCTTCATGTCAGGGGGGTGGGGGGGAGGGGGTGTGTAGGTCACACAGCAGACTTTCCGCTCACCCAGAGACTCGCCCGGAGCTCATGGCTCGGAGCCACAGGTGGCCAGGCCCCGTCTAGACATCGCCAGGTGCCCGGGGCTGGGGCTGGGCTTGTCAAAAGCGCATCCCCAGGGAGAAATGAGGGGTGGGCGTTCAGTCTGCAGACCATGCTGTGTGAGAGGAATGTAACAATGACGAAAAACCCATTTGGGGTGGTTTTCACCCCAAAGAGGGACAGGACAGATGGCCCGTCCACGTGCAGCGGGCAGCGTCCCGCAGGCCAAGCGCGGCTTCTCTCACCAGGCACTCCTGTCCCCAGGAAGCGCCTCCCTGTGGCCAACGGTCTCAGGCCCGACCCTCCCCCGGGTCCTGTACGCAGCACCTGCCTGGCCAGACCAGGGCGCCCGGAGCTGCGGGGCTGCTCCCCGAGGCTTCCCCGCGATCGCGCAGTGGGAAGCGAGCAGGTCTTGGGCATCGGTAGCAGCACAGCCTCCCGCAGGCCTGGCTGCCTGGGCTTCCGGCCCCAGGAGCCTGGGACAGGAGGAACTCGGTGGTGCAGACAGGCCCCCGGCCGCTCTGGGCCTTCGTGCCCTCCTGGCTCTGAGAGGCTGAGCTCGCTCCGCACACGCCCGGCCGGGGCTGGCGCGCGTCCGCGCCCCGAGCTGGAGAGCCCGGCCGCCCTTCAATCCGCGCCGCGGCTGCTGTTGATCCTTCTCTTAACCCGACGGGAAGGGCTCAGGTGCAGCTCCGCTGTGAGCCCTCGAGCCTGGGGAGCGGCCGGCTGCTGGCGTCCACAGCAACCCGCCCTCCAGCAGTCAGCGTGGCCCCAGGGTGAGCGGTGACAGGAGCCGAGGGCGGGCTTGCTCATTTGCGCGCTTGCTGGGGCATGATGCTACCATGTGTGCCGACTCAAGCGTGCGTGAAGCCTGGCCCGGCACTCACACTCAACACCGCGTGGACACGCGGGCAGATGACTGACCCCGTGGGCGTGGCCTCTGAACGCAGCTGACCTCGCGGTGGCCGGCTGCCCCGCTGGCCAGCACCTCAGCCGCGTGCAGCTCACGGCGCCCGGCTCACCGCACGGCCCTTGGCGGCTGCCGTCTAACATCTCCCCTTCCTCCTGGCAGCTAAGCGCCCGCGCCACGTCGGCCTCGTGTCTCAGGCACCGGACGGGACCCGGCCCGGGTGTCTGCGTGAGGCGTGAAGGCGGCCTGTGCCTGCGCCGCGTCTCGTCACCGCCCCTGCTGTCCGTGTGCACCCTGCGGACAGCTGCACACGGAGGCCGCCGTCCAGTCCCCGAGGACCGCCTGCTCCTCGTGTCTGTTCCTGCCAAGACCAGCGCCCCGCTGTCCCGGACGGCGTGCACGCGACATGTACATTTTTAACTCTGCTGTTCTCTGCCTGGGCTTGTTCAACAAAAAGGGCGAGAACCACGTGTTTCCTGGGGTGAAGTGGTGGCGGCCCGAGGGCCTGCGCTCCCTCCTGCGGGTCAGACGTCACGGAAAGGCCGCGTGGTCGCGTGGGATCGCGCAGGCGGCGGGCGCTGCGGGACCGCTGGCTGCCCTTTTTGTTCCTCAGATCTGCTGTTTTCTCTCATTCTCCCGTTTCTAACTTTCCCACCTCCTCTTCGCTTCTGTCTGGTGTGTGAGACGTGGGGTGTGCGTAAACACAGTGAGATCCCGCCCCGGCTGGAGGCCCCGCCGGCGGCTTCACCACCTTCCGGGCCCACAGGGTGTGGTCAGGGGCTCAGGGTTGTGATTGGCGTGGAGTGGGGACCGGGAGGCGGCCAGGCCAGGTCCGCGCGGAAGCCCCAGGCAGGGCCGCCCGGTCACGTCCGACGTTGGAGGCCCAGAGCGGTTCTGTCCTCACAGCGCTTTGAACTTGGGGGTGTGACTGCGCTTCCCGGGGTCTCAGCCACCCTCCTGCGAGGAGGAGGCCTCCCTCAGGGCGAGGGCTGGGTGGGTGGGCCCCGCCCCGCTGTCCCCGTGTCTGTGCCGCCCATGTGCATGCCCCCGCGTGGCTCCCCTCACCGCCCGCCCCGCTCCCAGCGGGAGCAGAACCAGCAGCCGCCCCCCATGCCCACCCTGCCGTGTCCTGGGTGCGGGAGGCGCCCCGGCCCTGCACATGCCTGCACCGTGTACATATTCCGAGTGAGCGCATCGCGTCTGTGAAGTGGCAGCTCCTCCGTGGGTCCCTCCCTCCTGTGACGCGGCTGCACATGGACACGCGTGTCACACTCCGCGCGTGGCGCTCCGTGCCGCCATCCGGAGGCACCGCAGCTGCCACGGGCCGCACACGACTCGCCAGGACGGTGAGGGCGCCTGATATTTAAGTTAATAAACCTGTGATTTCTGCTGGCGGTGTGTCCGACTCCCTTCTTAGGCACGGGCTGCGCGCGGCCGCCTCCTAATGGCCACGCTGGGAGCCGGGCGGGCGGAGGGCGCGAATTCGTGAGAACAAAGTGCTGGCAGCGGAGGGTTCGCCCCGCTCGGGGCCGCGGCTCCCTTTCGACCAGGTCTGACCCTGACGCTTGGTGCAGCCGGTCACTGAGGGCCACACCTGGGTGTGTTCCAGAACATTCTCCCCTTCAGCCCAGGGCTCTCCACCCCGTGAGCTCGCAGTTCTTGTGGGTCTCCGTCTCCCTCCACCAGCCTCCTCCTCCTCCTCAGTGTCCCCTCCCCGGGATCGGGATCACTGGTGTCAGGGCTGGAGCTGCCTGTTGGCCAGCGGGGGAGGGTGGCCGGGCGCAGGGGGAGGCTGGGGGCGGGGAGGGCAGCTGGGGGAGGAGGGAGCGCGGTGGAAAGTGGCCGAGGGGGGAGGGGAGGGCAGCCCTACCCTCATGGACCCCGGGGGCTGGGGGGCTGCAGCTGCAGGAGGCCAGGCTGCCCAGCGCTGACCTGAGCAGCACCTGCTCTGAGCAGACGGGGCGCGGGTCCGGGTGCTCTGGGAGGAGCTGTTGAAGGGGCGCCGTGACCGCCCTGCGCTGAGACCAGGGCAGACCGTCCATCAGCAGTGGGACCCAGGAGGTCTTCCCACAGACGGACCGTGAGAGGGAGAAAACCAGTCGTGGGAAGGTCGCGGGGCCCCCGAGGGCTGAGGCCCAGCAGGCCAAGCGCAGCCGGTTGCCAGGGTCCGGGGGCTGTTGAGGGCGGCTCAGGCGTGTCCACCTCGCCGGACTTCTCCCCAGTCTGAGTCCTGGTGGCCCAGACCCGGCAGAGCTGTTACTGGTCTCCATGGCGACGCAGCCGCCTGCACTGCTCCCGGCGCTCCACCTGCACAGGTGTCGCTCCCACAGGGGTCGCGGCCGGCCTGCAGGGGACTCGCCGAAAGGCCACGCTGACCGCTGCTGCACAGAGCGCAGCTCCCCCTGCTCTGAGGGGTACCGACCGCCTCTCCCCTCCCCCGCTGCCAGCCCGGGGCTCCACCACCATCGCTGGTTCCCGCCGGCTTCTCTCCCGCCACCGGGCAGCCTTCCCCTCTGCACCCCACGCCCCGCCCCCCTCCTCACCTCGCGGGCCCCACTTTCCCGCAGGCCAGGCGCCCAGGGTGGGGGACCTGCCCGCAGCCGGTGGTCGCGTTCTTTCCGTAAAGAATTCAGAACCTACAGTGTCTGTGGAGTCACAGCCGATGCTCATCGCCCGGATGCCTGCGCTTCGCTGTGGCCAGAAGAGCTGGGAGCCCCCCCCTCCCCAGGGCCCCTGTGCTGGTCCCCACGCCCCCAGGCTGGTGGGGCCGGGACAGCTCAGTCACGTCACCCCATCACCCCGTCCCCACGAGAGCCCATGAAGCCAGAACTGGTCCTGCCCTCCAGGTGCCTCTGCCCAGCATGGAACCCGGGCTTCTGTTTGGGGTTCGTCTCATCTGTGTGCCCCCCGCCTCCTGCCCCCCGCCCAGCACAGAAGAGCTGCTCGCTAGCGGCCTCGGGAGCCTGTGCGTCCCCCTCAGAGGGTGTCGGGCTCCAGTTCACTAGGACCCCGGGGGTTCGCACCAGCGGGTGGATGTGGGGGCACTGCACCCTCCTCACCTGCAGGAGGAGAGGGGCGCCCGTCCCCGACCTCACGCGCCCTGAGCAGGAGGCCTGACCTCCCTCCTCTTCCACCACCTGCTTCTCGCTCATCAGCACAAAACACGTTTCATTTCACAAACGAGCTCCTCTCACGTCGCTCTGGGAGGCCCGGGTCTCACCTCTCGCCTGTGACCGAGGCCTGTGCCGTGGACAAGGGCCACACATCCGGCCAGCGAGGGTTTGCGTGGCCTCCGTCCCCACCCGGGAGGGCGGGCACCACGGGGAGGGCAGCCGGGACCTGCTGCTGTGGCTGCAGCTCAGAGCCGTCGCGGTCACACTGCTCCAGAGTCCACGCTGAGGCCCCGTGGGGTCGGGGCGCGTTCCCCTCCGTCCTGCCTTCCTCACTGGCGCCCCTGGGCTGCTCTTGACCCCATGGCCGAGCTGACCACCTGGGTGGGGCTCGGCCAGATCAACCTGCGGGGCCTGCCGAGTGGCTGACCCAGGACCCAGGACGCAGGACGCAGGACCCTCCGTAGCTTCCTCGTGTTGCTTCCCACCGGCTGTGCTCGCTGGGGTTTCTGGAGACACCGGCCGACGGGTCCGTGCACACAGGCTCCGATGAAGGTTTAACTCGCGTTTGTGGAGGCTGAGCTGTCCCCAGACCTGCAGTTGGCCAAGCGGAGACCCCAAGATTTGGATTTCCATTCAGGGCTGCAGGCCGGGGAGGCCGCAGGAGCCCTCCTCTTGCCCTGGGGCAGCTTCGAGTTCTGGTCACTCGACTGATTGGATGAGGCCCACCAGCATTCGGATAGAGCCCACTTCTCCGCACTCCCCGCCCTGAACCCTCTGTGTCCATGGGAGCGCCGTCCCCCCAACCCCAGGTCCCCCCACTCGTGGGCGAAGGTCCCGCAGACACAGGACCAGGGCCCGGACCCCACCACGTGTGTGAGGACAGACGGCGGGCATCCAAGCGGCCACGTGCCTGGTTCTCAGACCGATGAGACCGCCCGTTTCTACAGACGTGGGCGCCCCCGCCCCCACCCCCCTATATGCTTGCCTCCCACCAGTGGTCGCAAACCGCGGCTCTTTGGCCCCTTGAGTGTGGCTCTTCCACAAAATCCCACGTGTGGGCGCGCGTACAGTGCGATTGAAACTTCGTGGCCCCTGCGCGGAAGCCAGTGTTTTTGGAAGAGCCGCACTCAAGGGGCCAAAGAGCCGCATGTGGCTCTCGAGCCGCAGTTTGCGACCACTGCCTAGCTGTTCACCTGTGGGTTTGGGCTCATTGCTGCACCTTCTGTCCTGGAGGAGTGCACCCCAAATCCTGCCCGGGGAGGTGACCACAAAACGGGGTCCCATGGGGGGCGCCCCCCAGGAAAGGGTCCTGAGGAAGCGCGACTTGCAAACAAGTGCCCACAGGCCTCCAGCTGGCCGCCCCGCCCCGGCACCCCCACCCCAAGCACCCCGCCCCCAGACATCCCCACCCCCAAGCACCCCGCCCCCAGGCACCCCCACCCCAAGCACCCCTCCCCCGGCACCCCATCCCCAAGCACCCCTCCCCCAGGCACCCCCACCCCCAAGCACCCCTCCCCCCGGCACCCCCATCCCCAAGCACCCCTCCCCCAGGCACCCCCATCCCCAAGCACCCCTCCCCCCGGCACCCCCATCCCCAAGCACCCCTCCCCCAGGAACCCCCATCCTCAAGCACCCCTCCCCCAGGCACCCCCACATCTCACACGCTGCCTGGACAGGATGGAGACATGTCACCGGTCTCTCTTCGCCTTCACCTCAGGACACCAGCCAGTGGTCGGCAAACTCATTAGTCAACAGAGCCAAATATCAACAGTACAACAACTGAAATTTCTTTGGAGAGCCACATTTTTTAAACTTAAACTATATAGGTGGGTACATGGTTATTAACTTAATTAGGGGACTCCCAAGGCTTAGGAAGAGCCACACGCAAGGGGCCAAAGAGCCGCATGTGGCTTGCGAGCCGCAGTTTGCCGACCACGGCCCATCGCACGTGGTGGAGCCGGGAGGAAAATGTTGGCTCCAAGTCTCGCCACACCTGTCCCACCGGCGCCAGCGGCCTCTCGCCCTCGGAGCCCCGGCCCCTTTCCCCGCGTCCTCCCCGCGCGTCCCGGCTCCAGCGGGTGGACAGCTCAGCTCCGGTCTGGCTCCTGTCGCCCGGCAAGCGCCCAGGTGACTGGAGCCGGACGCAGAGTCCTGCTCGCCGTCTTTCCTGGCCCGTTACCCCACCAGCCCCTCGAAGGCATGTGGAGACGGGGTAACTCGACCAGGCCTCCCCTCACCCCACCCCACACGACCTCCCTCCCTCTCTCCTCGCCCCTCGGCAAACACCCAGGATGGGAACGCTGCCCAGGGCAGTGGCTCCCGGACCCCTCACGCCTCGCACGCGGGTTTCTGCTCGGCTGGTCCTGGGGTTAAACCTGTAACCAGTGAAAAGGCCCCACGGCAGACAACAGGCCCCGGGAAGGCCGAAGCGAGGGGGCTCGCCCTGCAGGATGGGAGTCGCGGTCCCACCCACAGACGGACGCCCAAACGGGCAGCGAGACAGCCATGTTCTTGGAGAAAAACAGTGACGTTGCTTTGCCAAACGTCCAGCAACGTAGAATCATCTAGACCCGCGGTTCTCAACAACCCGTTCACAGGGGTCGCCTAAGACCATCGGAAAACATATCTATAATTACACACTGTTTTTGTGATTCATCACTATGCTTTATGTTCAATTTGTAACAATGAAAATACATCCTGCACATCAGATATTTACATGACGATTCATAACAGCAGCAACATGACAGTTATGAAGTAGCCACGAAAATAATGTTATGGTTGGGGGTCCCCACAACATGAGGAGCTGTATTGAAGGGTCGCGGCATCAGGAAGGTTGAGAACCGCTGGTCTAGATCATCACAGACCAGTGGGCCCGCAGGAAGGGCAAACTGTAGGTGGGACCTGAGACCTTTTCTGCTCCCACCCCCACCTTCCGCCCCGCCCACTGCGCACCTGCTGTGCGCCAGGCCCACCTCACTCCTGGCCTCACCCCTGGCCTCCAGCCACACCTCAGCTGGTCCCCAGCACTGCTCCCCCCGGTCACAGGCCCTGAGTGGCACCTCTGCCTCTCCCCCCCCCCCCCCCCCCCCCCCCCCCCAGCTCAGGTCTCAGGCTCCCAGGTCACTTACAGCCCTGCCCACCTTTTGCCTGGTCCCGCCTCTCCCCTCCAGCCTCAGGACGCCCGCCCCTTCTATTCCTTTAGGTTTCAGTGGGTCATTTACATAAACACAGTCAGGAACCGGTGTAGTGGTGGACATTTTATTTTATATTTTTTAAATA